TGTTCCAACAATGTTGCGGAGCATCTAAAGAAAATGAGTTTCTGATCCACTTGGTCCAGGCTTATTGCCTGGGAAAATCACACAGATAAACAGTGGACAGCGCCAGCTCTGCCAATAAGTGGCCTAAGCAGCTGCTTAGGGCTCTGGAGCCACCAGAGGTAATAACTTCTGTTACAGTACTATTATGTTGTTTTGCAGGAGGTGGAGCACTTGCCCCTCTGCCCCATCCATCCATCATCTAAACCGCTTATCCTTCTGGGTCGCGGTGGGGCACCAGAGCCCATCCCAGCCATCATTGGGCGGAAGGCAGGATACACCCCGGACAGGCCGCCAGTCCATCGCAGGGCAGACGGACAGACACACACATTCACACACACACTCACACCTAGGGGCAATTTAGCACGTCCAATTGGCCTGACTGCATGTTTTTGGACTGTGGGAGGAAACCAGAGTACCTGGAGGAAACCCACGCGGACACGGGGAGAACATGCAAACTCCACACAGAAACGACCCTGGTCACCCGGCCGGGAATTGAACCCAAGCCCTTGAACCCAAGCTACCCACTGCGCCACCATGCCGCCCGCCCCTCTGCCCCTTGTTTACTAATCATTTAATGCAAAAATGGTGCTAAAATGGTACTGATGAAATTTAAAAGAATTCATCATGAATGATTTCTGCATGTTTAACTTCCCCTGTCTTTGACAGACCACTCTCAAGCCCTGCCTCGTATTCTCGTCCCTCCAATCACTGCTTAGCAACTGTTTCTATCTGCCATTTGCTCAGTCAAGTCTTTAGTTCAGCAAACATGCCAGATTTAAAACATTAAACTCCACGTTAAACAGATATGGTGATAAGATGTGCCCGATAGCCTGAAGGATGTTGTGTTCCACCCATTTTCAGAAACAAAACATCTTATTTGGATTCATTTGTGTGGTAAAGATCACTATCAGTTGAACACACTTAACATGCACCAGTGAGGTAAATTGTGTTTCCATAGCACTTCATCATATTTTGCTGCCCTTTTTTTTAATGGACAAAAAGCAAGTTTTCCTCAGAGACTTTACTGTTCACAACACTTAATTCTTCGTTGGAAGCAGGAAATGAAGCAGGAAATGGCCCTTTGTTTGCAGTTTTAAAGTTTCTTGAGTACTTGAGTGCACACCTGATCAAATGAACCATAGTCTGTAGCCTAAATGTAGTGTAGTGAGTACCATGCTAAGAGAAGAGAAAGGTATGTTAAAAATATTAAAAATCAAAACTATAAATTAACAAACATGAAGTACACATTGCTCTTGTATGCTTGTTTATTATCTGGAGGAAATGCATTTTTGTTAACATGTTCATCTGCAGTCATCTATCATCAGTCCAAAATAAAACAGGCTACACCCAGTAGATTTATGGTATGACACTATTACATTATTGCTTTAGCTTCCAGAGAAGAAACGGCAGGGAAAGATTCCATATGTCAAGTTGTGAGCTGCCAAACAGAGAGAAATAGAAATGGAGAGAGAAATAGAGGACTGCATCCAGTCCTTACAGGAAAAGGAAAAAGATGGCCTTACACCACCATCTATGGAGAACATTCACCCTGTTCTGATTGATGTAGATGTAGCACAAGAGCACTTAGAAGATGCAGGTGAAGCTGTAGTAGATCCCATACTACTGAATGATTTTAATCCACCAGTGTCCTCAACACCAGTGAGAGATCAAAGAAGGAATACATCTTCAGCAGAACTGTAAACTGAAAAAGCAGATCTTAGATATGAGGAAACAGCCAGCAGAGATGAAAAACTACATGATAAATTCAGAAAGCATGAGAAGAGTAGGCCTAAGTGCAAAATTCAAGCAAAGGGGGAGTAAGAAACTGTCAGCAGAGGGAAAGGAAAGCTTTCTGTCAACTTTCTGTCCAGAGATGAAAACGGTCATCTTTTAGCCAGGGAGAAAGACACCATCACCAAAAATAAACAGAAAAAGCAAAGAACTCTCAGAAAGACCCTCAGTGAGCTCCATACACAGTTTCAAACAGGTAGAACAGCATCTCTCCATGTCATACAGACAATTTGCCAGAAGATGGCCTTTTTATATCACAGAGCTGAGGACCAGAGATAGACATACATGTGCATGTGTGGAACATAAGAATGTCCAGCTATTGGTTAACAAACCCATGAAGAGAGGGCTGTTGAAGACAACCAGCCTGTCAAGTTTGATTGTATGTGACTCTAAAAACAAAACATGCATGGATGTGTATGTCTAAAGTGCTGCTTCGATGAAGGTGAATTTCCTGAGACAAACTACTGAGGTTTCTTGAGAACAATAGAAACAGGTCACTTCAACGAATGGAGAAAAATCCTTTGCAAATGTTTTAGAACACATACACAGGAACAATCCAGGACTTAAAAGAGCTGTGCCACAAAAAGCTAGATGCTTTATCCACAAACCAATTCATCTGGATCTATCAAACAGAACAGTTTTGTGATCTCACTAAATCTGAAGCTGTTCTTCACACTGATTTTTTGGAAACCTATGTCTGCAAAATGAGTACAGAAGCTTATCATTTTGGAGACAGCCAAAAGCAGGCCACAATACACACTGCTGTCCCCTACACAGCCCAAAGCCCCAAATCACATGCAACACTGTCAGACAGTCTCGCCCATGATGAGCAAGCAGTGTGGGTACACCTGGAGCCCATAGTGAACGAGCTTAGGGCATCCTGCCCTACGGCAGGTTTTGTCTTCACAAGCTGCACAAATCAGCAGGGAGGTGTCATGCTTCTGCAAGCATGAAGAAATGAAGATATGCCTTTGTTACTAGCCAGTAAAAGTAGACCTGAGAGACACCATGTGCCACACTGAGGACCCGTCAAGCACTCCTGAGCCACCAAGGGAACAAGGTAGTCTTCAAGACTTGAGTGGCAAGTTTGTGACTGTAACCTATGATGAGCTTCCATGTATAGGCCAGGTCATTGAGGTTGTGGGAGAGGAAGTCCAGGTTAGCTCCATGCAGCAGTCGTGTGAAAAGAACAGTTGTGTGGTGTGGCCACAAACTCCAGATGTCATTTTCTACTATAAGAAAGAACATAAGTTCATGCTATCATCTCAGAACCTGAGCCAACAACCTCATGCTACTCTAAGTTGAGCAGCCAAGACTGGGCAAATAAATGTTTGTGATGAGATTTTTTTTAGAATTTTAACAATATGAGATCTTCCTGTCATTTGGAGCGACCACTCATTATGTGGTGCGACCAATAATAACTGTACTAAATTTATAAAAACTCAAAAGTAATGCAAATACTTTGTTTCTAAACACTTTATATTACTGAGAACTTGTAAAAAATGTTATGTTAAGGAAATAAAATAATTTTTCAGATCAATCACGGTTGCAACACTTGACACTCTTAAAGGCCACGGTCAATTCATCTAGATGAAAAAAAACACTGAAATCACTTAGTGTAAAATTTAAAGATGAATTTATCTGTATACGGCATTCATAATGTTTGAACAAAGCAACAAATACTCTTAATATTTGTATTTTAAAATTGGCCCGTTGAAAATCGTTATACGTCATTGACCCATAGATGGATGCATAGAGAGGATATAGATACAGATAGACACACATAGACAAATACAGAGAAAAACAGATGGATAGAAAAAGAGATGGAAAGAAATGGAGAGAGAGAAAAACAGAAGGATGGAGAGAAAAACAGAGAGGAAAATAGATAGTAAAATAGATAATGAATGGATGGATGGATTGAAAACAGAAGGTGAATAGATAGACGGAGATACACTGAAAAAAAAGTGTATATCGATTCCACACAAATGAAATGTTATATCAACTTCGTCAGTTAATTAAGCATTACCACATCCTAATTATGTTGATAGAGTATTCCGACAAAAAAGGACAGATTCACAGAGAGAGAAAAACGGATAGATAGATGAAAATAAACTGTATTGCATGTTGTCAGTATAATCCCAAATATAGATCAGTAGACAGACAGATAGATGGACAAGAGAACAGATACGTGGATGGAAGAACGGCTTGATTGGCAGACAGCTAAACAGACACGTAAACTAAAAAAACAGCTGGACAGACAAAAAACACATACTGCCGCACAAACAAATTGGTACGTATAAAACGTCTTAACATGAAGAACCTCTAATATATTACCAGTATTGCGACATCAGAACACAAACATTTCTTGTATCGCCGTTAAAAAAAAAAAACTCAAAACTGAGTACAGAACCTACGGAGAAGGTCTCCATCAGAAACACACCCTTTACCCTGACAGTGATTACTCCCCCTAAACAAAAGCCACATCCTCCTGACACACAACAACACAAGCAACGTTTCCACATGACTAAACTAACAACAAACAACAGTAAACAACACAGTAAGTCCCTTTGTTGGAGGGCGCGCGTATACCATGAGCCTTTGCGCGTGGTCATCTGCATAGCCACTGCGAGCGTCTCTTTGGCGCCTGCCCCAGCCAATAGCAGGTCGCTACAGTATATTACTATTTTGAATAGGAACACAGTGGTGTAGGGTGAGAGCAATAAAAACTACGGTAATTTCACAAACGGAATGTCCAGTGTAACCACAAGAATCAGAGCCTGCTGAGTGGAAAAGTGAACCTTGCCTGTTTTAAAATAATATTGGGATGTGGTGGGCAATCAAGCAGGATTGTGTTACTGTTTGTTTTTCCATGGAAGAACGCCTCCTCCTTCTGCTGTGTCATTCCCAGCTCTCCGTGTTCCGTTCAGTGCTTAAAGAAAACACAAGTCTTACTCAAGTAAAGAGAGAGAGAGAGAGAATTAGGTATATTGTAAGGGGATTATTGTCGTACATTATCAGTATATTACTATTTTGAATAAGAACACCATAGTGTAGGGTGAGAGAACTATAAACTACAGTAATTTAACAAACTGAATGTCCAGTGAAACATCAACCCACAAAATCAGAGCCTGTTGAGTGCAAAAGTGAAACTTGCCTGTTTTAATACCTCATGTTAAGATGTGTTGACCAATCAAGCAGGTTGCGTTACTGTGTCTTTTTCCGTGGAAGAACGCCTCTTCCAGTACGAACCTCCTCCTGCTGTGTCACTCCCAGCTCTCCGTGTGAACACACTCTTCTCACCCGAACACCAGGAAGGTCTGTACCGCACGAATCTCTTCGTTTTAAACTTTGGTAAGAGAAAGCGAAGTTTGTTTCAGCCTGCGATGCTCACGTCAGCTCACTAAAGAGGAGAATCGGGGCGGTAAGGTCAGCATACTTTGCTCTGAACTTCATTTTTGAACTTGGTTGATTTTAGTTATTTGCAGGTTTCTCTAAAACAAAGTATGTGAAACTGAACCTAACATCACCAGATTACTGTTGAGGGGAAAATGGATTAACAAACTGTCGAACGTTTTTTAGTCAAGTAGTCCATATCTCCTAGTTATTAATGAACGATTAAATAACGATTTCCTGTAATATTTTAATCAGAGAGAAAGTAAGTCTGTTCTTTCCCACCTCCTTTTAAAAGCCAGAGGTGAGCTGTAAGTTATGGTAAACACTTCTGAACAACTCCTGCTTATAATAAGCCAACAGTAAAGAGTTTTAATCGTTTACTAGATAACTACAGCTTAAGTGATTAGTTAGAAATCGATGGTGATTGTACACAGCCTGCTCTCCTGTACAGCAGTGAGAGAGCTAGTTGGTGCTCGTCTAGAAACAGACTAGACAGAAGGTGATTCAGTTTAGTAAGATAGGAGCAGTATTTATTTATTTTTAAGTCTTGCTCATTAAAGCCCCTTGTGGTTTTCCAGCAGATCACATCATTTCCCATGCAGGCGTAGATCCGTGTGAATCGTTCTGTTCCTGTGTCCCATCATGGCCTCTGCAGATTTCTGGCCTCTGTGCACATTACTGTTTTTGGTAGTAGTGCAGGGAAAACAGTATGGTAAGTTCACTAACAGCATCCAGATGCAGACTTTATCCCCTTTAGAATTAGAGGCACTAGGGACGGGCAATACCACAGATTTTCTGTTGAGTCTGATAGTATCAAGGCTAATATTCTGATACTGGTACCACTAAAAGAATTCTTGTGCACATAACATAGATATTCTTTGTGAAACGTGGACTAGTAATTGATTCCCATGTGGAAACATGAGGATTGAAAGAATCAATACTGAAGTAGCGATCGGCCCAACTCTGATTGGCAAAATAGGCAGTTCTATATAAAAAATCTCGTATAAAAATTAAAAGATAAAGCTGATAAACACCAAAAGAATGTTTTCATTACCTTTTTTCATTACCATTTGCTTAAATAGATTGAGCTGATTTGAAAGTCTAACTGGAAATTCTTTGTGATTTTCACAGTGAAAGTCAGTAAATGTGGACATCAGAAAAGCGTTTGCATGTGCATTAAGTAAACTGACTGTTTAAAGGAGTGAAGTAACTCCATTATCGAGCATTAACTCTGTCTCATGACTGTCTGTGTCTGTGTGGGGAGCTGAGGGAGAGGCCGGAAAGACAAGTATTTCTTGTGCAACATATTTATTTTCTACAATAATTCACTTTTTTAGCATCATCATATCAGTATTTTTGAGTAGAAATCTGAGGATAAGAAGTATGAATGCTTCACTATATATAATATATATATATATATATATATATATATATATATATTAATCTGGGTTTGACAATAAGGTCTGATTCAGTATCCTCTTCACAGCGCTCCCACTACCTGTCCCTGAGATAGTGAGAGTATATTCAGATGCAAGTGACACGCGTGGTTTCGGTGTTTGGAAGATGAATCTTGAATGGAGGGATAATTTCACCAATGGCAACAAACCAGAGCCAGTCACTTACGACGTGGAGATCTTCTATCATGAGCAGATGCGACTTGTACATAATGTAAGTGGCAGATTTTCTTTGTCCGGACAGAGCCTTGTATCTCTGTTTTTGTCCTTTTTAAGAGTTTGAAAAACCCAGCTATCATTTACATTGTGTGTAATGACTAAATGACAAACAGAAACATGATCGAAATTACATAAGATAAAGTCTTATAACATTACTTCTATTAACATTTAAGGATATTTATACTTGTTGTAAATTTACCATTTTGGACAGTGAGGATTAACTTTTTCCATGTAATGCCTGAATTAGGAGACATTAAAAGACCCAATGGGCACTCATCAGTGGAGCTGGACTTCACCCTTTCCTCTCCAGTGTACCTCACATTCAGTCAGACTGCGCACCAGACACCAGAGTGACACCAGTGATTGGACACCTTTATACATTTTAAAAGGTGCATGTTCGTTGTTGAAAAATTCATAAAAAACAAAATAATTATTAGGGATGCGTCAGTTTTTCATGTACATATCTTCTGTTGCCAACACATTTAAAAAGTAGAAATTGAGACGAAATAAAGTGCAGATATTTCGGCACAGTAACACAGCATAAGCTAAGCCTTCTGTTCAGCTGAAGTACAAGAAATACATTATCATATATGGGCAGCGTAATGGCAAAAAGAGTACATTATGATAGTTAAGGACATTTTCATGATACACAATATGTATCACGGTATTTTGACACACAGACGCAATGTACTGGTGTTTCAACTTTTAAAAACAGCATTTAAAAGCTCTGGTTACAATGATTTTTATTCAGCATTTTGAATCCAATTAAACAGAGTAATTATGCTCTCTTTGTAATGAAGCATGCAGTTGTTCGGTGTTCAAGTATGGACAATGACTGCAATATGCTCAGCAAGGCATGTTATTTGTCACGATCATCACGCATCTCTAATAACTGTGTTACCTAGTGATCAGATTTAAAAACAGATTAAGCTAAACTAAAGAGAATGAAGAATGCCTGCCAACACTGTGGCTTCATTGTAAAACTACTGCAGTCTGCAGTTTTGTTGTTGGAACTGTATGTAAATAAATGCAACAGTGTAATGGAGCTTTTTACTTTTCACCCTGCAGGAAAAGACACGGATGAGTTTCCTGAGAGTAACGTGTATCCTAAAGATTACTTCGCTCGGGTTGGTGAAGATATTGTATTCTGCTGTATATTAAAGACAGAGAGCTTTGCGGGATTCAATTCTTCTAGTTTTACAATCCAGATCAGCAACAGGACATACATCACAGAGCCTGTTCCCTGTGATGACGTCTCTGCCGCAGAAGGTTCTGATATGCTTTGTGATGGTACAGGTGCCACAATCTTCACTGGCTGTAAGTATAAGCAAACACTGTTAGATTAATTTCACTTACAGCTTTCCTCTCAACAGCGAACCCCTTTTGCACACGTCCGTAGCACCATGTTATATCTCAAGCTTTGGCTGTTGTGACTTATTCTTTGATCTCTGTAGCCCATTGTTGTTGTTGATAAAAGCTTGTGGCTCATCACAACATGCCAATTGGTCCAGCTAAAACAATGGTTCTTAGTGTCAGTGTGATTCAGTGCCAAACTGAATCTGTGAAGCAAAACCAAATGAAAGCTAGCTTGATTTGCATATCATTTGAATATGATTTTATTGACAGCTTACAGGAACAGTTGTACATATAATTATTGTCTCTGCTGTTTTACACATCCAGCATTTCCCAGCATAATATTGAGTTGCTGCACCTGGAAATGCACTTTGAAATGTAATAGTGCTGGTGGAGTTTTCACATGTTGTTTCTTGATCACACACCAGAAAACCTTAGGAAAAGTGAAGCTAACCAGAATTGCTGTACTGCTCCAGCATGCACATGCACAGATAGGCTCCAGGGAGGGCTTCAGCTCTAGCCCCTTTGCTCTCAGGCTGTACAAGTGCCCTCTTTGTCAGCATGTGTAATTATGTTTTATATGGCTATTCTGTAAAATCCATTTCAGCATGGCTCAGTTCATACCTGCCCCAGAGTAGAGTTTATGGGTCAGTTTGGGTTTTTTGAGCCCCACAGGTCTTGGGACATTTTTTTAATTTTATTTTTATAAACTGCAAACCAAATTACAATATAGACATTTAACCAAGCCAGTCATTTTGAATAGGACAAAAATGAATGATGTGATAATTCTTTGCAAACATAGAACATCAAAAATACATAAATATTAAGGTTGAGCTAGAAATGTTTTTAGTGCAAAACAGTGTAAAATGTTTCTCTTTTTGACTATATGGAATTCCTCCTTCATGGATAAATGGTTAGAAACAGAAAATTTTCACAATTTTCTTTTGCATTTATTATGTTGTGTGATTATGCACAAAAATTGCTAGGCTACGGTGATTATTGTTGTGTTTGCTTGTATTTTAAATGATTGCGCTGGCTAAATCCTCTTGTTGACCACAAAAGCTTTTATGGTCACTTGTGTGAGCCATGCGTTGGAAAAGGATAGGAATTCCTGGCATAGTGGATAACAATACAGCTGTGTAATCTGGATATGGGGGATAAAATCCCTGCTTAAGTGGTAACGTTAATATTTTTGGCTGCCATAAGAAAAAAAATCTTATCACTGTGTTTACTCTGAAATATGATTAGATGGCCTCTCTTCATAAGAGTATTTGCAATGTGCCATAAAATAGATAAAGGTGCATTGTAATTCATGTTCAAGTTTTTTTATTTCTTTTGGGCCCCAGCTTCCCAAAATCTCTATGCACTGTACATATGAGCACAAGTGCACTACGAAATGCAATGTGGGGCCACAACGGACCTGAAATTAACATTTGCTTTACTAAGGTGGCAACTTATCACACAAACTGTGCATAGCCCTCTAACTGCTGATGTGACTGACCGCTGCAGATGCCCCCGATGACCAGAATCTTACATGTGAGACGAGAGATCTCAATTCTGTGGAATGTCACTGGATCCCTGGGAAAACCAGCATATCACTCCTGTTTAAAGTACATTACACAGTCAATAAAAGGTACCCAGCGCTCTTCTAAGACCACCCACTCCACTATTTATCTTATTAAATCTGAATGATTGCTGTTTGTTATATTTGATGTCTTATTCCATATTTTACGGTATTTATGCCTTGAATCTAACCTGCTGCCCTCCTTTGCACCTTTGTCACTTAGGAATTGCTCAGCTCATATGTGTGTACTGGATGAGAGCATAGATAAGGGGGTAATGAATTGGACACTAAATGCCACAAACGTCCTCGGCACAAAGATAATCAGTGATGTAGCTGATCCAAAACACAGGGGTAAAGTATTTCTCAAACACAGTTTATACCAATTATATTTGCAGTGGTCTAAGATATTCAACAACGTGAATAATCAAAACATGTTGTGGCTTTTCTGTAGTACGACTCAAAGCACCCACGCTTACAAGTGCAGTTTTAGTTCATGCAAGGAATGCCACACTTGAATGGCAATGGGGTGAAATGCCAAAATTCAATTCCTTCCCAATGATTTGCCAAGTGGAGGTGGATGGACACACTGTTCAGGTGGGTGTTTACTTTCAGGTGAAGGGCTATTAATTAACTTATTTTTGTGTTATGAAGTAATGATCAGATATCAGGCATATTCTTAGTTAGATGATTATTTTAGCAATAGATCAATGTTCATGTTGTTATCATGACAGCTGTAATGTCATTATACGTTTTTAAGTGATTCTGCACATTTCTCATAAAGGAAACATTTAGTGGAACTGGACTCAAGTCACTGGTCTTGGCAGACCTGCAGCCCTTTACAGGATACTCAGCTCGTGTGCGGTGTGGCTCTCGTGAACATTTTTATAAGTGGGGTGACTGGAGTAACCTCATCACCTTCTCTACCAAAGAAGACAGTAAGCATGGAAAACACACATTCACAGTTTGTGCCTATAAATGCAGTATAAAGGTTTTGATCCTAATATCACCTACTTGATTTTATTGATATGTCATAAAGAGCAGTTCTCCTGTTTATTGTTTTAGTGACATTTTATTGTTTTAATTGTTGTTTAAGGCAAAAGCAAAATAATAATAATAATGATAATAATAATGATAATTACATTATATGAATATGATCTCTATATTCATGCCTAAAAATAATCATTCACATTTACAACATGTAAAGAGCTCAAAGGGAAATTTCCACCAATTATCTATATTTTTTGTATAATTCAGTCATTGAGATGTCATTCAGAGTGGTTTGATGTGAAATGGTTCTCCACAGAGAAGCTCACTGATTTAGACTTTTTTACAGTGATGATGGTAAGAACCAGGCATTGCAGTGTCTATACTGCAAATGTAGCAATTTTATTCACTATTCAGAACCACTAGTGAAACCATGCGTTTTCTGAGTTTTCAAATGTGAATTTGACGTAGTAAAACGGTGGCAAATCTGAAAATAAGATTTATTTAGGTTCTGTTCAGAATTACAAGCTCCTACAATGTATCTTTCAGACAAGAATAGTTTAAAACTAAAGTTTTAAGCTAAAACTTTACATTAAAAGGATCGTACAACAATCTCAGTCTTTTAGACATCAGGCAGCAAATTCAAAATATTTAATGCAATACGTTTTTATAAGGTAGCACCCTTGGTTGGCACCCTTGGTTGCAACCAACTCCTAAGACTGAACCTGAAGGTGTAGAAAAACATCTTTGCAGGTTCTTTGAAAAAACTGAAAGCAAATCACTCAAAACAAATGGAGGCTGTGATAAAGGCAAAGGGTGGATGCACTAAAAATAAAAAAAAAATGACATTTGTATTTAATTGTTGAAGTTTATGTTTCAAAAATATGTGTTAAATATGTTTTCTGCTTTTTTCCTAATGCTGAAAAAAACACATAACTGTTCGACTGGAAATGAAATAAATAAAGAGTGATCTCTGGTTCTGAACTGTGTATGTACTTGAGGAAGCTCAGTGTTCACAGTTTCCGTCTATTACCTAGTTTGGCTAAGCAGTACTGGCTAATAAAATTACTGGTGGTGGAACTGAACAAATCCGTGCAATGACTGGAACCAAAGTTGTGCTCTTCTGTGTTTTCCTAACTAAGATAAAAATAGTTTTTAAACTGAAAAAACATCTTATGTTCTAACATTATGTAGTATTTTCATTGGCAAAAGAGATTTATCTGCTGAGATAAATATTTTTGAACAGGTTTCAAGAATGCCTAAGATTCTAGCACAATACTGTGTTTGCATGTATACTATGTGTGTGTGTGTGTGTAATAATAGTAAATATAAATTAAATATATGTGATTTTTTTTTCACAAACCATATCATATTTTTTTTCTCCTCAGTTCCAGAAGCTGTGGATGTGTGGATGCAAGTTCTTAATGGACACACTTATGCTGTATGGAAGGTTAGTGTTTTTTCCCTACATTAGTCTTTTAACTCTTATAACAATGTCAATTAAATCAACATCCATCAACAGCCTGCAATTTCATTTTAACTGCTCCACAGAGTTTAACTGCGCATCAGAGTCATGGGATTATTACAGGCTATGAGCTGCTTTTAGGAAGCGCCACAGACGTGACCAAAGAGCACATCAGCAAAGCCACAAATGACCACTGTCTCAAACTCAGCCCCAGGAGAGCAGAAGGAGATTATTTTATCTCCATTTCTGCCAAGAACTCTGTTGGTGTCTCTCCTCCCTCCAAAATCACCATCTCCAACCTACAGTCAGGTACAAATTCAGATTTAGACACATTACACTCTTGCTTTGATTGTATGGAATGGGATGACCACAAGTATAACATTTAATTTACTATCTCATTTACTTTGCAGATGGTGGTATTATCACTGATACCATCAGAGGACACAACGGTAGTTTTAGTATGTCTTGGGATCCAAGCCCCATTTCCAGCTGCGGCTATGTGGTGGACTGGTTTCCAACATACAATACAGAGCAGTGTGCTGTAAAATGGATGAAGATCCCCTCTGATTTCTCAAATGCCACAATTTACTCAGGTCAGTACTCAGGAAGAAGTTAGCTGCCACAACAGAATTGGCAGTTATCACTCTCTCTCAAGCATATTAAGCAGTCTATTGACAAAAAATGTCAGAAATTGAAGACTGGGTAAAAAAATTCAAAAATATTAAGAACTGCAGTTGTTTTAAAAAATAGTACAGAATAAAAATCCAAGAGAAAATGTTTTGTTTTTATTATCAAAATGGCAATAATGTCTTCACTGAAGGAAACAGTCTTTGCTTTCATGTAATGCATACAAACAGAACTGAAGTGTGTTCTCCATAGAGGATATGTACTTATTTTCTCTTACACAAAACATGTAATTTGACCTGGGATACCCACACATATGACTGTAAAGTACAGCATTTAGAACATACAGTAGTCATGCTCAAGTTTATATTATTTTGTGCAGTTAACAATTGCAATGTATACCACAACTGGAGTACAAACTTAATGGTAACTATACCAGAAATACCAGCTAGTTTGATTTATACATAATTTATACATTTGTGTCTTCATGCTGAAAATTCACATTGTCATTTCTGGCCTCTGCACATGTTTTATTTCATATCCTGCTTGTTCCATGTTACAACTACAGATTTTGAAAATGGGGTAAAGTACACTCTCTCAGTCTATGCGTGCACTTCAGGAGCCCCACAGCTACTGCAGAGAAGAGAAGGCTATGTGAAAGAGCTAGGTAAGCAGCCAATATTACCTTCTATTTTAACCTTGACAAAAAACCTTGACAGGACACAATGCTTCCTGTTTTTGTCAGTGTGGCAGCCTTTGTTAGACAGTACGTGTTGATTAAAGAGGAAGCAAAGGAAGCTGTTCGGATTTGTATAATTTTGCACGAGAGGCTGTTTGAATCTATTATTTGTAAATCCATAATAATATGTCCCGAGTGTTGGGTATACAAACTAATTTATGCCGTAAAACTGGACTTCTTGTTGTTTATCAGGACTGTGGATAGGTTTCCAAAACTACTATGAGCATATTATACAATCTTAAAAATTGTCAAAAAAAGTTACTTGGAGCAACTCCATAAAAGAACCACTTTTGGTTCCTAAAAGAACCTTTCAGTAGATGTTTCTGATAATGTGATGTGCAAATGTGAGCACAAGTTCGAAAGAAACTACACATAATGTGATTCCTTTGTCAGCCCCATTAGGCACAGTTCGCAACCTAACAGCAGAGCAGCATGGCATGGATGTTAAGCTTTCCTGGAAAGACATGCATGAAGAGGAGATGAAAGGCTTTTTATTGGGATATATTGTGTCCTACAAGCGTTCCAGTGGAGATCAAAATGAAGATGTAGATGAGAATTCCAGTGAAGACAAAAAAGATGTCTTTATTCCAAGTACGTTTAGTTTACCTTCTTCGTTTCACTAAAACAGGTTTTCTGTGTGCAGAATGCGTTTTACATTATTATGAGGCATACGTTGGATGTATTGTTTCTGTTGTTTACAAAGAATGTGCCATATTTTATCTCAGTATTAGAGCCACGAATTCATGACCCCACTGTTCGAACGCATACGCTGCCAAATCTTCGTCCTGGTTACTATACATTTGAGATCAAGGCCTTCACATCTGCAGGAGAGGGTCCTGGATCTGTTGTTAGTCTCTCTGTGGATTATCAGGGTATGTTTGCAAAGTTTTTACCTTCCTGCTGTGCCCAATACATTGGCCTACTACATATAGTACAACTTTCTAATAAGAAGCATTTCATGGAACATGAATCAGGGATGACCATGCCATGTATGACTGTGTAAAAATAACACTTCTTGTGTCTGCAGCTTACATACTGATTCTCAGCATTCTCATAGCTTTGGGTACATTAGCCTGCGTCATTGCCATCATCGTCCTTTGCTGCAGCAAGAGGGAATGGTATGGAACCTTTTCTGGACTAATATTTTACATTTTGTTAGTCTAGAGAGAAAACTTCATTTTCGACTGCACTTGAATGACATTTACTAATATGGATAAATTCCAACAGGTTACAGTCAAAACTGTATTCAGATACTCCTAAACCGGTGCTTTCAGGAGACTGGCTTACACAGGTGAGTGCTCAGTGCTGTTCTTCAATTCATAAAGCAGATACTGTGTTTTTATGAGTATCTTGTTGCTCTGTATTCCTAAAGGAATCGAATCACTAATACAAACCTCAGACTCCCACCTTTGCTGTTTTTTATGGAAATCACTGACAATGATCAGACCTGTGTATCTGGGCACGCTGTCTATGTTTGTGTTGTTATAGCTCAGTTACACTGCCTGATCAGATCATGATTTTGGATATGCTTCTTTGCAGCCTTTTGTTCTGAAACATCATTTGTACAGTACTGTGCAAACATCAGAGACCACCTTTCATTTATTTAATTTCCAGTCAAGTACAAGTTATTTATTTGTCAGAAGATGGGATGTAAGGTGGAGGCGAGATTGGATACAAGATAACGTACTTGAGTAAGGAAGGGTGAAGTCAAAAGAAAAAAAATCAAAAACTGGTATTAAAAAACTATTAAAAGACATAGAGAAAATGGGACTCCTAACAACTGTGCAAGACCACCACAACCACCAAAACTCTCACCATCAGATAAACAGTACTTAAAGCTTTCATCTTTGAGAGAGGGGAGAAAATCCAGCTCTACTCTTGCTTCAGATCTGAAAAAAATCCATAGGAGTTTCTGTCCATCCTTCCACTGTGAGAAGACAACTCCATGCCAAGGGGTCTGAAAGCATGTGTAGCTGTCAAGAAGACATTACAGAGAAAAAGACAGACAAAACAGAAGAAAATTTGAAAATCAAATGAACCTGCTGGTCTTAGAACAATGGACTGGCCACTCCAGAGCCATTAGAATCCATGTAATCTCAAATACATGCAAACTTAAATGCAACCAACTTCTAAGACTGAACTTTGGAGATATATATTTTTGGAGAAATATCCCTGCAGATTTCTTTGAAAAAGCTGAAAATGTTCAGTTCTCTAGAAAAGTAAGCTGTAATAAAAGCAATGAGTGACACACTAAATACAGAAACATTTGATATTATTTAGTTGTTGAGACTTCTGTGCATTTTCCTGTTATTTTTTTTCTTTCATCAAACTATATTTTGATAACAATCTATACTTAATGGCTGTTTTGACTGGAAATTCAAATGGTATCTGAGTTTTGCACTCTCTTTTGCACAAAGTACTGTATTTTTTGGAGCCAAACCAATCTGTATAATATGTTATTTGAGCTCTGTAGAATCAGGACATTTTAACACAGTAATTTTTTGTGCTAATGGACTTGGATTTATGATTTGTTGTAGGGATTTCACCAGTGCCACGTCATGGATAAGATACTGCTTGCAGAAAGTGAGGTGCTCATGGTGAAAAATCCAGAACCTTGTCTACAGGTTGTTCCACAGTTACAGAAAGCACAAGAAGAGGTTGATCTGAAATCCAAAGATCCACTGTGGATGAGATACTGCAATGATGTTTGTGATCCTCAGACCGTTTCTCCCCTCACCATTGACCTTTCCTACACAGAGGTCCCATCCCCAGGGATTCAGAATCCTACATACAACATTCCTCTGTCCCTTCCAGATGATGATAATCTAGTGTTAGGTTACATGCCTCAAATACAGAATGTCGACAACCAGCTCCAACCCTGTGATGTCAGACCTGCCCAAATGGACTCTGGGGGCTATCAGCCCCAGTCACAAGGATCTTCACAAACTACTGAAATACCTAATGAGACCATCTTACCACTCAGTTCAGCCTCAGTCAGTTCTTCTGAGTATCTGCTTCACAGTGCTTGTAGGTAGTCCTTAGATAAGAAGTGTCCAGTCTTATTCAAAAAGGTCCAATGTGCTTTCAAGTTTTTGTTCCAACAAAGCAGGAGCAACCATTGTCAGTTGTTTGAAGACTGAGAGCAATTTATTATACCAGTAGAATCAGGTGAGCTCCTGCTTGATTGGAATGAAAACCTACAGCCTTTGTGGATACAACTGGACACCCCTGCTTTAAATACAACATACAGCGGCATTTAGTAGCACTGTTTAAACTTTGACAAAAAACAACAAGAAATGTATGTATTATGATGCACCTGTAATGTGAGTTTATTTGAATGTACCTTTGTACCTTTTTTTGTATTGTTTGACTACAGTGTATGTTATTCTTAAGTTAAAACATCTCTTGCTTCAAATATTCAGAATAAATAATGTTTTATTTTTAAAGTTGACTTGTCTGAATATTGTGTGTGTTTAGTTACTGGCATTTGCATGAATATTAATATCACAACAATCTATCAGAGCACACACCTTACATCAGCTTACTAACTATTAAACTACATCAACTATTAAACTGTTTTAAGAAATTTATATCTATTTTTCGAGTGAATAGTCCTGTGTGATTGACAAGCATAGTGACCAATCACAGTCCCACATTTGTAGTCTTTAACCAATGTGTCCAGACGGGGGCGCGTGTTTTTTTTTATTTCCAGTCATTGAGCCACTGTTTTCAATTGTTTGGGCTCCTGCAAATGATATTGTGCAGAAGAAGCGTTGACAGAAATCTGTAGTTGCTAACTAATGAGGTGTTTGCTTTGATTTCAGTGTTGTTTTTTGTCCTTGTGTGTGTGTGTGTGTGTGTGCGTGTTTTTTTAAATCAGTATTTAAATGTGGGATTTATATGGCTCAGCTCCTGGCAAATTACACACGTCACCTCCATCTATGACAAGTATGCATGTTATAAGATAGAACCTTTTAAAATTCCAAGCTAATGACTTTCAGTTGGACACGGCCACTTTAGTGGTGATAGCTGTTTTTGATGCTGTGATAAAATTTTATTTTTGATGAAACATCAGGAGATCCTCAAACTTTGTGCTGACATGGGCTTTACTTTTCATACTGTATGTTCATGTTTGTTTTCTCCTCACATTTCCAGACTATTAAAAAACTTCAAACTCGTTTAAACTCTTATTACTGAAAATGATTTTCTTTTTTTCATAATAATAATAAAAAAAAAGAAATTCCTGCAGCCCCCCTGCAATTATGCCAACTGACATGTCATTCAACACAATGCTGCTGTGTCAAAAATCAGGTGACATACTTTTGCCCTTTCTTTTTTTTTCTTTCCTTTCTTTCTTCCTTTTTATTTTTACTAGATTTTTGTTTAGGAAGCTGATACATGATGCTCCACTGGCACTCTTCACTCAGAATTCACTGTGAACAAGTACCGTTCATGCCTGTTTTGGGGGAAAGACCAGGCCCGAACCATCCAATGGATTTTACAGGCGCATGCCCAGAGGCCTGAGCCACTTGCCACAGCTGTTTTGACAGCTAGCAAAGTGAGTGAGAGCAACACCAACATTTTTTTTATGATCAGTGAGGATGTCTACGAGGGGTCAACCGATATGTTTTTTTTTCAGCGCTGATACAGATACTGATTATTGGTTTTTAAGGACAATGATAACTGATATTTGGGGCCAACATTCATTTACCATAAATTTCATGTTTGAAGTGTTAAAATTTTTTTACAAGAATGCAACTTTTACTACTTACATTAAATAAACATTAACACATTACAGAAATAAAGTGCTTTGAGCTTTAGACAGTATGGGCTGCAATATCTAACAAATATTTGAATTGTCTTTATACATAACATAATAAACGGATCAAATAAATAACAAATAGCTCTCAATGATGTTTAAAAGTCAGTGATGTTTGTAAGAAAAATTGAGCTAAAAAAAGGGGGCTCAAAAACTTTACATTTCAAATGTACACAAATATCTTTACATATTTTATATAACACAGATGGTAGCTTGAGTCACTGGCAGCGTTGAAAGGGCACACATCAGGGGCAGAGCTTGTCTTTTCTGTACATGGATTCAAGCAAGAGAACCGAGATACAGGCTAAAAACTGTATGAAGCCTACACTAACCAAATACACAGAACTGTAAATTACAGTAAAAATATTACAGTAAGCATCTAAGCAATCGTGCAGTAAAAATGGTGTCTACTTTGTATAAAGTGGCAACAGTGAGCAAATATGAGTGTTAATGTGTTTATTTCATTTTGTTCAACAAAAATGTATTTTTTTTGCAATAACAAGCAGTAGTTGAATGTGTTGAGTGAATCAGATGTATTCAGCGCTGTATGATTCGTGTAGTCGAAGCTGAGCGGTGGAGTCTTTGGAAGTAGCTGCAGCTGTACTTTGTACTTTTAACAAGCGTAACAGAAATTATGTATAAATTATTTTAAATGTAAACAATCCGTGATGATTTTGGCTCCACTTTAAGTGGCAGCGCAAGTCCCTACAATTATATATTTGAATTGTAATTAAAACTAAAAACATTATAAAATGATCATTTCTAATTATAAACACTCGACAAATCTAGGGATTTTGGCCTGCCAATTACTTAAAAATTGTACAGTAGAATCACTTCATAATTCATATGTATATAGTATGTTAAACTCTGAACTGATATCTGTTGGTTTTATGAACTACTACTACTTTACAGTGCTTGTAGTTAGAGTTAATGTACTGCACATTGCTAAATCTCAAATATGTCGAAAGAAAAAAAATGCACTTGTAGTCTCTCCTACCTTAAAAATACATCATTAGAAGAGGGTTTTCTCAGCCTTTAAACCAGAACCACTCTAGAAACTCCTGCGACACCACTGCAGGACATGAGTAGACATGTCAGAGTGCTCCTTTAAGAGCTACTTCGTATTTAGGGCCGGTTGTGGGCGTTGGCGGGGTAAGGTGTCAGGTTTGATTGACAAGCAGATTGACCAATCACAGTCCCGCGTCTTCAGGCTTTGACCAATGTGTCCAGACGTGGGCGGGTGTTTTAAATTCCCGGTCGTTGAGCCGCTGTTTTCAATTGTTTGGGCTCCTGCAACTGACGTTGTGCAGAAGAAGGATTGCTAAAAGTCGATAGTACCCAAACACATGTCGCGTTTGTTTTGAATTCACTGTTTCCTTTTTGTCCTTGTGTGTTTTTTTAATGAACGTGTTTAAATGTAGGATTTATATTACTCTGCTCCTGGCTTAACTACACTCACCACCTCCATCTCTGACGGGTATGTATTTTAGCTAGCCAGCCGGTTAGCTCGCCTCTGCCTTTTCTGTTAGCTTTGTCAGCTCACGTTAACGTTATAGATGGTTTTGTCAAATCAACGCTAAGCTGGCTAACTACATAGCTAGCTAGCTAACCTTGGTTGAGTAGTTAACAGTTAACGTCACCCCCCCACACTTCAACTAACCTACATTATCTACCGCAATTTAGCTAGCCAGCTCGCCCAGAAACTGCTGTGTAACATTATGTAGCTAACTAACTAGCTAAGTCGTTGGTCCTCGTAAGTTGGAAAAGAATTGCGTTATTCATGCTTAACGTTACTTCCGATTTGAAAGACAAACAGCGGTTTAGCCGGTTCATGTTGATGGCTTGCTGACATTAGCTAATATTAACGCTTTAGCAAGCCTAAGTTAACGTTAGGCACATTTGTCTGTTATGTAGCCTAGCGAATTAACTTTTAACTGTGGCTAACATTGTAAACATTAGCTGGCTATTCAGTTTTCACACTAGCTTGCATCCCAAACGAGTTTAAATGCAATTGGCCGTGAGTGATGGAAGGGATACTAGCCCTCCCAACTGCGAAATTTCGTTCAGTGAGTTAGCTAGTAAGTTAGTTAGTTAGAATAGAGTTAGGTACGTAACTGAGATACCAGATTAAAATGCGTAGCTACAGTGGCTCTGGACTTATTGTGTGGGTTAGCAAAGCAAGTCCCTTTTAATGTATTGTCTTGTTTGCCGTTTTCTGAACTGGCCTGCTCTGCTCTGTCGACTAACTTCAGAACTGTGTTTGACCAACATTCCATCTCAGTCTTGTAATCTCAGATTATATGAAGTACATAACTGATCTAGTCACTTGACTACTTTGTTGATGGCAAAAAAATGCTTATTATTCTTAAACTATAATGTTTCTCAGGTCATAGGAATAACTTCCTCCAGCCATGGAAGTTGGCACAGTTGTGCAAGAAGAAATGAAATTTCGTGGAGTTGAATTTGCTGTAAAAGTGGAATTGCAAGATCGATTACTTATAGTAGAGATTTCTGATGTGATGACGGCAGACCAGTGGAGAGGAGAGTTTGATCCTGCCTGTGAGTATGCTCATCCAAAGATGCTGATGCAGTGATGCACCTGGAACTTTCTGAAAACCTTTTTCTTCTTGTTCTTTAGATATTGAAGACCTCACCCGTAAAACTGGGAATTTCAAACAGTTTCCTATATTCTGCAGCATGCTTGAGTCTGCTGTTAGTAGGGTAGGTTGGCTGAAGTTCACTCTGATCGTTCACACAGATTGTACTCATTATGTTATGTCAGTTGTGAATGACTGTAATGGTCTTTAAAACATCTAGTCTAGTGAGTCAGTGACGCTTGACCTGCTGACCTACTCGGACCTGGAACTTCTGCGGAACAGGAAGGCGGGTGTAGTTGGCCGGCCTCGTGCCCAGCAGCAGTCTCCTGCTCTCAGTGCTAAACGCTACCTCATTCTAATCTACACTGTGGAATTTGATAGGTCAGTACCGTTTCACACAGTCATTTTCTGGTTACTTTTGAAATGAAATTTGTCATTTTTTAAATGCCATTCTTGTTCTTTCTTGGTGTTGAACTGCACTAGGATACACTACCCTCTACCACTGCCGTATCTTGGAAAGCCTGATCCTGCAGCGCTCCAAAGAGAGATCAGAGCTCTAAGGGCTGAACTGAATGCCTTGGGGAAGAGAGGAGACCACATAGTATCAGACCAAGAGACCCGCAGACTACGTGCGGAGTAAGTTATGCTGTTAATCTTTAGCATGGCCTATTTATTTTTTGTTATGTTCTGCTGGTATTTGTCAGTTTAACAACAGGATAACAATCAAGAAACTAAAATAGGTCAGGCAAGATAAAGAAGTCTGACCAACAAGACTAATTATTCTGTGCTGACCATATGTGCTGAACTACGCCACATCAGGTTGGCTCTGGTCAGGGAGGAGAAAGATGCACTGGCCAAAGCTCTGGAGCAGCTGCAGATGGTTGAGGCTGGCTCTGCCCCTGGGGCTCGCGGGCTCAGAGAAGCAGTGCGCAGCCTGGAGGAGCAGCTGTTAAGAGAGAGAGCAAAAAGCCAGCGCTCAGCCACCAAGAGGGGACAGGAGCAGCGCCACCTCATGGAACAGGTGAGTTCTAATACATTAAGCATATCAAAATTGATATTGTCTTGTGAAATGTTTGCGCACCCCAGGTCAAACTAAATGTTGAGTTTTGTTCCAAAACACATTATAGACCACTTTTATGAATTTTCTTTAATTTTTTTTTATGATACACATTGTTGGCAGAGGGCTTTACACATACCAGAAATATCAAAGCTGTATTATGGTAAATACAGCTGTCATTAGGTAAATAAAAAAGGTTTTACATCAACTGTTTTTTTGTTTTTCTTCAAAAACTCCATAAAACTCCACAAAAATGCCAAAATTGTTACAAATGCATATTGGAATAAAACTCTTTGTGTTTTGTTGATTTTCTAAGTGAAAATAAGTTAGCACATCATCTACCGGTAACACACTTTTGCAAGTTTTAATGTGCAATTACATGTTTTTCTGAATTGAACACATTTTATGTTTTATTTTTTCCAATATGGCACATTTACATTTGGGAATATGCCACAATATGTTTTATTTGCTGTTCCCATATGTTAAATTAAGCATAATTATAACAATAATTTGGAAAATATCAGTTTGTTCCCTGTAGAGGATATTTGAACTTGTTTTATTGACCTTCTTCTTGTAAACATGTAATTTACCCAAGTTACATTGTTATATTATTATGTTATATTATATCATTTCTATTTTCACTGCTATTCAGTGAAAATAGAAATGTTATTCAGTGAATCAAACATTCTGGAGCTCATCAGTCTTTTACAGTCACATTCTAATTCCTTTCCCTTCCTAGTTGGAGGAGCTTAGAGCCTCAGAGAGAGCTCTTCGGATACGTGTGAAGAGTCTGACTACTGAGTTGGCCTTGTTGCGCCGAGGGTAAGTAGATTTTATAATTCTCTACTTTCTCCCACCTCATTTTGGATTTTGCTCTTTGAATGTGTTTTTCCACACATTGGTGTGCTTGAAGTTTCCTACCCTCGTGTTTGTAGCAGGATGACTCCGGTTTTGTCAGGCCGGAGTGGGTCTAGGGGTGAAGGGGAATTTCACCGATCGGCCTCCAGGGAGCGCAGTTTAACTCGAGTTGGGGCGAGGGCTCGCTCAGGGTCCAGAGAGAGGGTGGAGGATAGGAGCAGGAGGTCAGAGGAGAGAGGGAGAAGGGCAGACTCTTCAGGAGCACGGAATTACATATCAAGACCCTCTCCATCTCCAACAGGTATGTCTGTCACATGTTTAATTATCATATTTAATGTATATAGTGAAATACTGTTGCTTTATCAGTCAAAACTGGAAATGAAAAAAATTATATATTCTATTTTAAATACTGCTGTCTTGTTCATAAGCACATTGATGCAATATTGTTACTTTGGCTCTGTATTTCAGAACACTGTATTTGCAATGAAACAGTGCTTGTATATTACCTGTTTACATTTGGCTTCTCTAGAGGTCTGAAAAGGCAAAAAAGGCTAAAATTTTAGTTACTTCTTTCAAAACATTATTGAATATATAAAAGGAACTATAAGGAAATTGAGAATGATTCAAACAGATGAATGTGTCTACTTACTTTAGGGTCTCGGGGGCGGTTTGACCCAACAGCATACATTCAAGAGAGGCAACGACGCCAAAGAGAAGCAGAACTGAAGAAGTAACAATTTATTTTACTTTACTATTACATTGACCTTTCTAATAAATGTTCTCTGTAATTACTGGTTTATTTTTATTTTTCCTCACAAGCTTGGGCCTTTCTGTGAGCAGAAATATGGTTTTCATTGAAAGGTGTGCAGTATAAGCTTCCTTTTAAACTCTTAGTTGCTTTCTTGCGCCATTTCCCTCAAACCATCCTTCATCAGCCATCATTCTTGTACGTCCATGTGAGGCCTTGGTGTGTCCATTGTATAGGTTTCTAGAATATCGGATTGACATATTTTCCTTCCTTACCTGAGTTCAAAATCCTGGCTGCTAAAATGTGTGCATTTGTTTTCATTAGCCAAAGGAAGGTCAGGAGGGACATGTTGGCATCACCGGCTTTGAATGAAAGGGGACGTTCGCGGTCCAGAGAGCCCATTCCTCAGTTGATCAGAGGGGGGAGTGCAGGTCGGGGCAGGAGTCTATCTGTGGAGAGCAGAAGGAGTCATCACTCTTCTGAAAGCTCGATTGCTGACTTTGAAGAACTTGCTAAGCCCCTGAATAGCAGGTGGGTCAGTAAAGTGATCTGTATATTAGGCCAGCTTTTGATTCAGACTGACTTCATCAGATTGATAGTAATCATTAGACAATGGATTGATCCAGCAACACTGGCCATGCAAGTGAGAGAATGCAATTTGTCTTATTTAATGCTTTTAATAGAGGGTTAAGGTTTCTTTCTTCACTCCTATAAGTTAAGAATAACTCCACCAGTTTGCATTGTTTTCCTTGTAATTACTGAATAATAATCCTGTTATAGAAGTTTTGGAGTTTAAGAGGTTAAAGGTTTAGTGTATAGGACTGAGTGATATCTAGCAGGGAGGTTGCAGATTGCAACCAACTGAATATCCCTGCCTCACTCCTCCCTTTCCAACCATGTAGAAGAACCTACAGTGGCTGTCAATTTTTTTCTGTCGCCAGTCCTGATTTTGTTTTGCTCCTAAATGTTTTCGCTTCTTTGATGACAAAGATTCACCCTCACTTGCCTCTTTTGTGTGCTAAATAAGAAGTATGATTCTCATCAAAATTTGGGTTCTCAAACACAAAATGGTTTGCCAGCACTGGCAGCAGCCACTGATTTCTTCTACAAAGATCATTGATGTCACCAGGCATGTTGAATAAGACAAAACAAAAACAACCCCACATAGACATCAGTGTTTGCCAAATTTACGCAATGATATTGCTTTTGGATATTTGTGGCTGGGTTATTGGACTTGCTGTTAATATAGATTATATATTTAAAGTTAAAATTTTGAACATTAAAATAATTAAAAATATGCACTTTTTTGGCGCAACCTTTTGATGTTCCTGGGCTTTTGGTGCCCCTGGGTAGTCACCCATGTGGTAGATAAGGCCATAGGATTAAGTGGCTGTGTCATGTAGGGATCTCTCTTTGTTAAGGTTTTTAAGCCATATATATATATATGTATTTTTTTTGTTATTAACAGAGGCAGAAAACTGGTTTATAATGGTCCGAGTATGGTAAGTTGCTGTGCAAATTTAATTAATGTTATTTTCATGTAGAATACTGCCAAAAGTCCTGTTAGACTTGCCTGAAAATGTGATCTCTTCATACACAGACCAGAGGAAAACACTTGAACAAAAAGCCAATGTGTAGCACTCCAACACAAAGAGTGAGGGGTAGGTAGTACAACTGTTGTCTGACAGTGAGTGCGTAAGCCTTTTTTTTTTTTTAAGAATTCAACATGAGTAATTACTTTTTTTTTTTCTTTCTTTGCCTTTCAGAAAGTTCCATGGACACGGGAGCCGACCTGTCGGAGATTGATGCCCGCCTCCAGGCCCTGCAGGAATACATGAGAGACTTGGACACAGGGCACTAACTTTGCGCAGTGATTGACTTATTTTTGAGTTTTATTGCACAAGCTGGTGTTCATCAGCATGAACAATCATTTTTTTTAGAACACTGTTCAAATACAGATGCAACTACTACAAGACAACAACTGTTTCAAGCTGTATATGATCATTCACATGAGATGAAGGCAACAACAGACTTACTATTTGATGCCATAAATAATTAACACTCTGTTAGCCCCCCTGCTTAAACTGTGAAACTTGGACTTGCAATTCAAAAGACTGTTACTACATCAGACTTGAAGGACCTAGAGGTGAAACACGAAAGAGACTGAGATTTGTACATGCCATGTGTGTGAATTCGAGGTTAGCATTAGATACCTTTTGACAGCTTTTGTATAACTTGATGACTCCCAAATTTTTACAATTTTGAGATTCTGAAAATTATTTTTGTATGAAATTGTTCTTCCTCTGCCTTCGTTTGCATAATCATAAGTGTATATAAAGTCATCCTTTTATTTAACCCATTTTCTAAAATTATGTCCAGTTGTGGTCACATCGTTAGATGTAATATACCGTGGTTAGGTTTTATGTTTGGTCATTTGTTTTTAAAGTCCACCCAGTAGATCTGAAAACTTTTATATGTAAATTCAAATTTTTGTTTCAGCAGGCAATTTGTACCCAAATTTGTGGCACATGTACGTGTGAAGGTTCTGTCATTTAATGTGATTTAAAGGACTAATGAGCAGCTTTTGTCTTATGATTTTCATCCAGACATTACTGGTTTGCTGCTGGATGCATAGCTTGCCTCAGTGGAGGCACTGTATGCAACAACCTCAATTACTAACAAAATACAAAGCATATCACTATGCACAAGAGCTACATTATATATTCATTCATTGTAGTATTTTCATGGAAATTTCTGAACAGTCTGACAGTTCTGGGGTGTTTAGAGAGGATTCTATGCAGTGTGATTAGGGCAGCTCTGACACATTTTTGTGATGCAGCTGGAGCTGCTAATGCAGCCTTAGCCACGCTCACAGGGTGCTTCAATTGGCTCAGGGATTTCAAGGTATTGTGGTTTTGCTGTAGACAGTCGCAGCTGGCCTAGATCTCTTAATGAACAGTACTGTGAGTTTCTGTGGCCTATCCATCTGGCAGAACAGCTGCCAACCCCTCCTCACTCCAGCATACGTACAATCAGTAGACGCTAACGTCAGTACACACTGGCATGTCCAAACAGCGTGCCTCCACGATTTCTAGTGCACTTTTGAATGCGAGATATATCAGACGTGTTAAAACACATACAATGAATGCAAGTAGAGCTGCATCTTGCTTACACAATGTGTTTCATAACCAGCTGGATATATTGTTTATCTTGGCCTGTTTAAGGACCATGGAATTAGTGAAAAACAGTTACTACTTAATGCTTTTATAAACATATCATGCCTGCAAAAAAATATTTATAATAAAAGTTAAGCAAAATGGAGCTAAATAAATTTAATTTTAGGTCATTAATAGGTGACCTCATTTTCTATGTGTAAACCTTTTTGTTTAGATTTGGGTGTCCACTTAGGCTACACATGTAAGTTTACACTATTTGCAGAGTACATCGAGATATGTATTATATGATATATAATATGTGTATGTATGTGTAGATATTTGAAATAGTATTTTGTAAAAGCCAAGAATGCACACTCAACATAATCGGTTAGTGAGCAGTACTGTCACTTTAAGACAAGTAAGTAGAGTAGGCGGGGCAAAAAGTTGTTCCCAGAATTAACCAATCACACCAGCGTTGGTACCAGAACGGACCACCAGCACGGAGTCGCTGCTCAAAGCGAGCAGCGATTATTACTGATGGGCAAATTGACTCGGTTCATCGGTTCACCATACTGATTCTTTCGAACTTGTCGGCTCAGTGAATCGAACGTACGATTCAACGGTTCGTCTTCGTTTAAGGCCTCAGTGGCTGCGTCCGTGGGTGCGTTTACATACACTTAATAATCCGATAACTGCAGAAAATCAGATTTTCCGGGTCTACATGTATCAGGCATTAACAGACTTCTGCTTTGCAACCAGCCAATAAACTCACAGAAGACGTGACGTAAATGTAATGTAAAACTCGAACTTCATGCTGGCTTTTATTTTTTAAAGCAAAAACATTGTGCTGCTTTACCTAAAAATAAAACAGACATCACATAGAAGATAAAAATATTTAAAGCGTTCATGTCGTCAAGCATGTAAGTTGGTTTCAGTGTTGCTCCAAAAATGTTTTGTTGCCATCTCGCGGGTTGTGCGTAAATGTTGCTTGCGTATTTCCGGTACTGTGTTATGTTTTCGCACATGCGCAGTCACCCAAATCCGAAAGAAATCCGAACTACATGCACTGAGAAATCTGATTACTGATTACTCTTTATCGCATGTCTAGACCTTACTTCGCTGTAAGAAATGAGAGCATGCTGTTTAGATGAATATTTGAATAATCAGAAATCTGATCTGATTACTGAGTGCATGTAAATACACTCAGTGTAGTTGAATGAAACTTACTTTCCTGTCTTTCCTTGATTTTGCCAAATCTGTGAGCTGCCCAAATATACTTAAAGGCCTGTCTTGTAAGTTGATCCACATTAGGCAAAATAAAAAGAAAATTAAATTGCATTGAACTTTTAGGACGCAGACAGTGATCGAAGTCAGATGTATTTTCGTCTGCGCCTTATACAATGCTTATTGATTCAGCCAGCGACTGACACGGGATCTAGAACAGGCCACAGGTGAAAATGTATGCAAATTCCTAGAAGTCGTTACAGTTTGATGTTTTATACCGATTGCATGAGATTAAATTGTGACAGATTATTAAAGCAAACATAGATGCAAGAAAAAAATAAAGTTCGATTCAATTGGATTTGTGAATCGGTTCGAATTGAAAAGAACTGGTTCAAAAGAACGATTCGTGCACGAATCGGACAGGCGCTGATCTATTGTCTGTCTGTTGTTTGTAGTGAACCCACATGTCCTGGGGGGAACATGTGAACGACACGAAGGCAGAGCCCTGGTAGTTTCAACGCGTTATTCCTGCAGCACTAAGTTTCCTAAAACAGCAGCGAGGAGCTCGTTATCTGAGCTGAAGCGTCTGAGGCTGTGCGAGGGTGCAGTTAACGTTAGCTAGCAGTAGTTAGCCGACCAGCAGCGTGCTTGGTTTGGCCCATTTAATTGTCGCCCTGAAGGCTGCCGAGCTCAAATGCTAAATCAGCGATCGCCATGACTAAAACGCCTGGCACCGCGGCTCCGTGCCCGGATGGCGGGGATGTGCTGCACTGGCCTGGGCGACTGAAGGAGCCCACCGAGCATGTAAAGAGCAGTGCGGTTCAGAAACAGTGCTTGGGTTCGCCTCCAGACGGAGGTACTGGGGCTCTTCCTCAGCTAGTTGTAACTTACGAACCTCGTATCCGCCAAACCGGCGAGAAGAGGAGCGTTAGCGGACTGTCGTGCAGCTCCAACCCAGACGAGGAGTCGCTGTGTTCGGACAGCGGCTTCGGCGGCTCCCCCGCCTCTTCTCTGGTCCTGCGAAAACTCTCCAACTCCTCGTCAGCCGGCCTCTCGCCAACGTCGTCCTTTGAGGAGTACGAGGAGGAGTGTGGTGGAAATAATGGAGGGAACCTCACGGTGCCACAGAACAGCAGCGTATGCTCAGACGACCATGACACTGTGAGTATTAAACGTGAAGTGTGTGTGGTGGTAGAGCTGGACGATATACCGTCTGTACCGGTATACCACGATATATTGACACAACGTGATGTTTTGTCAGTATATTTAGTTGATAATGAGCATGATATCCACAATGTTACGTTTGAGCCTGTAAAATGATGCCTTTTGCCAAGTTTTGTTTAATTATTCTGTTTTGAACACTTTCTAATCCACAGAAGAGTTGAGTCATTTGTTCAGCATTTCAGACTGGTTGGAAAGAGCAATTAGAAATCTACAATAATTAAATTAATTTAATTTTTTTCTGGAAATGTACTTTTTCTCTGGCAAATTTGTACAGTACTGTGTTAAGTCGTGATTTGTTTCATTTTAAGAGCAGAAAACGGACAAAAACAGTGTAATCTGAAGCTATGTTGGGTTTGTAAAATATTAGTTTACACTCAGGAAGCATGGATTCATTATCTTTGTTGAATGGTTAAATATCGTCTCATACTATGATATATTTGGAAAATATTGTAAGATTGAAGTTCATCATTACTGCCCAGCACTACATTGCGACCTACTGGCTTCTTCCCTATATTTCTTTACATTAATCTGGCCTACAGCTTTTTTTTATTTAATTACACTTGTCGTGTTTGGTATCAGGCTTGAATATCATACACAGTAGCTTTGAATGTAAAGTACATGTTTTAGCTGAGAGCTGGGTTATTCTGTTTGATTGACACCATATATTATATTGGGCGTCTCGGTTTATGACTCGTTTTATTTGGTTATGGTCCTTTAAATGGTCTGCACACCATGAGTAAACAAACTAGTGACACTTCACTGATGGATAAAAATGTATTAGAGTGTGATTACGACACGGGCCTGAAAGATCTTTAAGTTTAGCTTTAGGAATAGTTTAAGGCAATAGTTTATAATTAGTTGAAAATGATCTTACAGTTGTGCTTTCAAAAAGGTTGTTACAGCATTAATGCTTTCAGCTAAAATTCATGTTATAAAAGGTGTTTCATAAGCTGCCTGGGCAAATAACAGTGCAAGGTGGAATCGGATACAAGACATCATAGATGATAATAGAGAGTGGATGCGGCCTGCAGACAGTAGCAAGAACTTGATTAGCTCCTAGTTGCATGGTTCTACTGAAAGTCTTCGGGGGGTTTGGGCACATCAGTCAGAAATGCTGAAGTACATTCTCCATCTAAATGCCGGACTATGTAACATGCATTAAAATGAGGGCAGTGCTGAAACAGTGCTTATAAGGTCATCGGTGGAAAAGGCACTGCTGCCTCTGTATGGTGGGCCTCTCCCTCTGGCATCCTTTCTTGTTCTGGAGAGTGTCATTCCAGTCAGACTAGTTTTTCGCTGCCCAGGAGAGTGTCTTTGGCCTGGAAGGGATGGGGACAGGGACTGCATCACACATGGAGTTTGAGACTCTTTTGTGTTTGCCCATAAAACAGTCACGTGTTGCTGCTTCACAGGAGATTGTCAGTTTTGCAGTGGCCACACCTGAGCCAATGTTAGTCAAGGGTGTATTTTAAGGTTTAGCAGTTCATGCGAGAAGGCTGAATATTCAAATCAACATGTGAGTAAGGTCAGAGGAGCTTTTCTTAACCATATTTCTTTGTTCTTCTTCCTTGTTTTTGGTTATTTTTGGAGTAGGGTGATTTACTGTTGTTTTAGCAGCTTATTTAATGAATGGTTTGCAGGGACCTAAGTATATAGAAAGGCTACTTGGGGAAAGGAAATAATCATCACAAATATAAAAATAATAAAATGGGAATTCCACCAGTTTTTAAACTTTCCGCATAACTCAGTCATTCAGTGTGGTTTAACGTGAAATTATGCATTGTAGCTATGCAACTTGCAAATTCGAGTTTCTTTACCATGGCAGTGATAGGAGTAAGAGGTCATAAAGTAGGTAACCACAAATATTTCTATTTATATAATCTACAGGTGTCTTCTGAGTTTTATATGCCATGTTGATGATGATCAAATCATTTTTTCTTTGGGGACTATTTTGCCTCCTGCATGTACCTCTCTGCCATGAATTGATTTCAAGGTCAAAACCTTAAACTATAAGATAACATTTCAGGCATAAGGCAGCATATTCTTCATTATCCTGTGTAATAACTATCTGCGAGGTAGCTTTTTGAGACAGTAAACGCTTTCGATGTTTTGGTCCTATCACCATTTTTGTGGTTTCTTCATAACAGTATTATATCAACCCACTCTGAATGACTTTAATTATTTTAGTATGCACAAATTATATTTAGTATGAAAAAAACAGATCTCCCCTTTAAGGCAGTATATATATTGTCATTGCATACATGAAACACTGTTGCTATCAAAATATCAGTGACACTGTCACTATTAAAGTGTTTGGAAAGAGAAGCGGTCTAAGCTTTTAATGATCTTTCATTTTCCCATCAGTTTACTGCTTTGACATAAACTGTTGGAATATTTTAAGATTGTCAGAAAGCACACAAAGATAGAACTGTTTTTTATTCTTTCTGTGTGACTCGGCATTACATTTCTGCTCGTCGTGGTAGGAAAACAAGTCTTGTCTGTCAATGTTTTATCAGCTATTGTGTAAGATTCATGAGCAATCACTGCCCCTCTGTATTGCTTGATAACTCCAGCTAGTTCAGCATTGTTGTCAATGATTGGCCTTATGGGAAAGCCTCATGGTCAATAGAGCAGAAGGAGTCTGCCATATGAGTCTAAAGTCGAAGGCAGAGGTAAGGAAAATCGCAGCTAAAGAGGAAACTGTTTTACAGAAATGTAGCAGTGTGTAGGTTGAACAGTTATGGGGTAGTTTTGTTAAAGGAGCTACTGTCAAGATTATGAAATCTATTAAAACATATCTAGTTCTAAAACATCCTAGATCATTTTATTTCCATGGCAAACTCAGCAGAATTTGGTTGTGTGTTTTAAGTTTATTTGGATTTGTTTATATTTTGTTACAAAAAGTCTTATAAATGCACAGTGCAACATACCTGAGTGGGAAAGGGTGACAATGCAGACTAAATTACAGTCATTATCAAGTTTAGCTTGGACTATGTATAACATTGGGCATGTTTTTAACAGTTCACATTTGGGAAGCCATAGTCCTATTTCTTGTATAACTTGTGTATAGTTGTTATTATTAACTATATAACATTTTTTCTTTGTTTTCTTTCGTCTAAAAGAGTGATATATGGAAGAAGAACAAAAACATGGTGAATTGGTCACCTGTTGTGGTACCTTTGAGAAAGCGCTCTCCCTGGGTTCAAGTGGTTGGCCATGCAGGTTTGTCTGGAATGTTTTGCTCTTAGCTTTTCTGTGGAACTTTCTTGATTATTTATTGTCTATATGTGAATATAAATATTTTTACAAACCACTGCTATTGCTCATTAAAAAACTGTGCCATAGAATACAATACATTATTTGCATTGTTATTTTAATGTTTTTTCATTAGTGCACTTAGGAATAACAGACTAATAATCTAACAATTCACTGATTCATAATTACTCTAAAGTCTGCTTTTGTTTTTGTTTTATAGGTAACTTTCAGACGGGCAGTGATGGGAAGCTGCTGAAGAAGTATTGTGCATGCGAGCAGCAGTGTTTGCAGCGGCTCATGGAGGATGTGCTTCGACCCTTTGTACCGGGTTACCACGGAGTGACCCAGCGAGATGAACAGGACTACAACCTCATGGATGACCTGCTCGCTTACTTTGACTCTCCTTGCATTATGGACTGCAAAATGGGAACCCGGTGAGACCTTTTACTTAAGCAGATTTTAACTTGTCGCTACCTACGTACATGTAATGTGCTTAATACAGAGGCCACTATCAACATAACACTGTCCTTAACTTTTTGAAAACCATCTGTGGACGCCAAACGTTTAACCTTGTAATAATGTTGAGTAATGTATATCCTATCAGGACGTACCTGGAGGAGGAGCTGAAGAAAGCACGCAAGCATCCCCAGCCACGTGAAGACATGTATGAGAAAATGGTGGCAGTGGACCCAGATGCCCCAACGCCAGAGGAAAGAGCCCAAAAAGCAGTGCTTAAAACCAGATACATGCAGTGGAGAGAGACGCTTAGCTCCACTGCAACTTTAGGTTTCCGTATAGAGGGCATCAAGGTATGTTGCACCCCATTATGTTGGTAGTATGCAGTTAGTAATGTGCAGTGATGCCAAATAGTAACCTAATACAGTTGTTGGCCAGTATGTTAGAAAAAGAAGAACTACACTCTTTGGATCACATTATTAGGCATCTGTTTTATAGGTGTTACTGGTGTAGTACTTACGGAAAGTCTACTCTGTGACTGAAATGGATCCTTGTTTGCATTTAAGGGAACTATGACGTACGTCAGCCATTTTTTCTGTTTGTCCGAATTGTGAAATTAAATTCCAGAGTGGCTTTGAGAGCAGTATGAACTTCCACAATACACAAATAGTTTCTAGTGAACACTGTACATCACTGCCCCAGCTAAATGGATACCAATGTGCATTGCAAGGACAGAAAAATGTTACTTTAATGATGTTTTTTCCTTCAGTCCTCGTCCCCTGCACTTTTCGAAACGTTATGCTTTTGTCTAGGGCTACAAATAAGAAGTCAACTGGTAAATGCTGATGAATGCTGATATTGAAGTGAAAGTGTCTAAAATAATTTATTGATTCATCCATGTTTACCGCTTTTAGTAAGCTAAATAGCTCACCTTAATATACAATACTAATGAACAAGTAGGGATCCAGTTTGGTCACAGCCACAGTATGTAGCTCATCTGTCGCCATGCAAAGCTTGTTTACCACCTTCTTGCCCTCTCAGTGACTTCAATTCATCAGTGATCACTTTCTGACCACAGGACCATTGTTCATACCATTTGTGTGGTGGACTATTTTCAGTGCATTTGTGACACAGACATGGTGTGGCATGGTAGTGTGTATGGTGCTGGCACAAATGTCTTGGGTGCCGACACAGCAGTGTTGCTGTGATTTTTACACAAATCAGGGATCACTGCAAGGTTGAGAGTGGTCCACCACCCTTCATCTTGATCCTCTTGAGGTCAACTGGGTCTGTTAGAGCAGGAAAACATTTCAGGGTAGTGGTACTCCTTGATCAGGATTGAGAATCACTGTATGAACTCCTTGGTCAAAAAATTAGTCGCATGCATCTTTTCTTCTCTAATACTTGGTTAGATATCCAGTTGTTTTAATAAAAGTACCGATCTTGTCAAGTAAGGATTACACCGGTCTTTTGAGAGAGTTCCTGTCCATTTTAGCCCACACTGCCGCTAACTTTGTGCTTCATGTTTGATGTTTTTTTTTTTGTCTGGTGAGTTCCATTGTTACGTGTCTTAATGTTCAGTGATATGATACTCTCATATCTCTGTTCAGAAATCTAATGGCACCTGTAATACCAACTTTAAGAGGACTAAATATAAGGATGAAGTGATGCAAGCGTTAGAAGACTTTGTTGACCACAATATGTCTGTCCTGGTATGTGACTTTTTTCACATTGGCTCAGCATTGACAAGGCTTGCAATTACAGAGCAATCTGTGTAAAAAACTTACTAGTAATCCCTTGTTTACAGAAAAGTTACCAACAACGAATAAAGGAGCTGCGGCTTGTACTTGAGAATTCGGAATTCTTTAAAACACATGAGGTAAGAAGCATCCTACCCAAAGATAATTTTATTTTGCAATACAGCTCTTGCTAAGTAGTGACTTGATTTTTGTTCATGGAAGGTGGTGGGAAGCTCTCTGTTGTTTGTGCATGACCACAGTGGCAGAGCTGGAGTCTGGATGATCGACTTTGGAAAGACCGTCCCCATGCCACCTCCTCTTACTCTGGACCACCGCAGCCCATGGGTGGAGGGAAACAGGGAAGATGGCTACCTCTGGGGCCTGGACAATTTTATTGACATTTTGACTGACATGCTTTCTGGACACTGAAAAAATTTCCCTGATTAATACACAAAGAACCCACATCTTCAGATGTCTGTAAATGTGTTTTACCTTGTACATAGATATTTAATTTTTTTGAAAATATACTGCAGTTTCCATATTTTGTCATGGGCTAATAGGTAAAATGTTATGTTAAAAAATGTACTTGAGGTTCTAGTGGTTTCTTATTTAAATGAATGCCAGTGAAAATCTGGACCAACATTCAAGGCTTGTGGTAATTCTTTATTGCTACATTTTAGTGTAATTGTGTGACCAAAGTGATTTCATTTTGCAGTGATTAAACACAAGTTGAATTAGAGCTGCATATTCCCTCAATTTTTCAGTCAGTAATCATTTGGTAAAAGTTCCTTTTCACTGATCTGCTGCAGATTGTGTTTTACAATTTTGTGAACAGAGGTAATAACGCTCCTGTGCAGGTGGATTTTTTTGGAATGTTTTAATTATGTCTTGTAAGTTTAGGTAGTTCTATGTATGTTGAGCCTGCATCTTGTACTCTGGCCGTTGCTGTGGCCCACATTCCTTAGTTGGATAATTTTCAGTGCAAGAAAGGTACACATCAAGGTGGACCAGAGAACTCTTGTTTGCCAGTGGTTAGGCAGTTCAGTCCCTGCCAAGAGTGATGCAATTTTCCATCATACTTTTGTGAGCTTTGCCTCAGGCTGATGAGCTAAGATAGTCCATGTGTTTGTACATTGTTTAAAACCTCCACATCCATTCTTATTTTCTACTGTAGACTTAATCATGATGTGTTTGTGGTTAGGTGTGCTGGGCATTTCTGTTACCGGTATTACACTACTGCATATTTGTCTTGTGCTGTATAATTTTATGGTATTATCAGCACAATAAATGTTATCTGTTATTGGTGCTAAAATGTGTTTTGTTTGTTAACTGTCTGAACATGGCAAAGCCTTTACAGAATCATAGGTCTTACAAGGTTATTGGTTACTTCCAGCTGAGAGTTGGTCTTAGAGTTAATTTCTTTGAGAAGTTCAATCCTGTCATGTATTTGTCTAGTGCATTGTTTCCCAACTCCTGTTGTGGGGCCAATCTGCATTGCACAGTTGTGTGTTTTCTTTGTATCTGAGTCATTAGGTCATCATCAAGTACTGTGAGCTCAAACAGGTGTATAAGAGCGGGAAAACACAGGACTGGCTTGGAGTTGGGAAACTGGTCTAGTGACTAATCCTTCACACATCATAGCTCACTGTTAGTTTTGAGACTGCACACTGCTAAAGGTGAAGGACTTAGAATACAAACACCAATAAGTTTTTGGCACTAGAATGGAAGACGGAGTAAAATATAAGGATGAACTCTCTTAATCAGGTGGGGGCTTTTCTTTTAATCGTCAACTTGTTTTGATAATGGACATGATGCGCTAATGAAAAGACATCTTCATTTTAGAGCTTTCTTCTTTATTTATTTCTTCTTCCTGGTTTTTTTTCCTGGTGGTAAAAGGTCTTATTAAAGATTTGCTCCTCTGCCTTTCCTCAATGATATGTTCAGTACTGTTGGTGGCAAATACACAAACTGGTGTGTGTTGCGGGTATTTGCCACTGGATTCTTATGAAATAGCATTAGGGCTACATCAATGTTTCTTGGCAACTTTAGCAGGAAATGTACAGGGCTCTCCAGGATGACGTTGTCTGTGACAAACTCCAGAACGTGTTTCAACAATTGAACAGGAAGGAAATGTAAGATAGAGTTATGTCCCCTTGTAGGTTGGTAAAGCACACTTTTCTCAGTGGCATGCCCATATCTTCCAGGCCTGCGAAAGCCATTCAGCTCTAGCCTTAAGCAAGTGTCCATGCACAAAATGGCCTTGGTTAAGCTCATTTCCCTCTACATGCATTTCCCAACAGGCAGTGTTTTAGACTTTAACATGGACAGTACATACTTTTCCAGGCAACAATCAAACCAGTACACTGATCAGGCATAAAATTATGACCACCTCCTTGTTTCTACGCTCATTGTCCTGCAGCACTGCTGTGTCTGATCCACTCGTACCAGCACAACACACACTAACACACCACCGGTCAGTGTTACTGCAGTGCTGAGAATGATCCACTACCCATATAGTTCCTGCTCTGTGAGGGTCCATGGGGGTCTTGACCACTGAAGAACAGGGTAAAAGGGGGCTAACAAAGTATGCAGAGAAACAGATGGACTACAGTCTGTAATTGTAGAACTACAAAGTGCACCTGCATAGTAAGTGGAGCTGATAAAATGGATAATGAGCATAGAAACAAGGAGGTGGTTATAATGTTATGCCTGATCTATGTACTTGGGTGAATGGATAGTTCAGCTGTGTTTTTTAAATGTAGTTTTATGTATCATTACATGAGACACAACGAATACTGGACAGATTATCTGTCCCATAGCAACAGATCATAGGTGTCCATCCTGGCAAACTATGGTCTGCATGGTGGACCCAGCAGGTGCTTGCTGAGGTTTGTATTCAAGGTGAGAGAGTTGTTTATATTGAAGTGCACGCCTCAGCAGGAACATCTGTCATGTGAGAGGTGAGAGGTGGCAGCTGGCTTAAAGTTGTCCTTTAAGCTGAGGGAACTCTTTGCAGCATAAATGCATCATGCCTGTTACAAACAGTGGTAAGAATGGTAAGAATGACAGAAAAGAGCATGACCCTATTAAATTACGTTGTTATGCTCTTCCCATATACCATTCTGCATTACTCACACTCTGTTGCTGTGCATGGTATAGCCTCACTTAAAGCCTGCCACTACATTTCCATGTATCCATCCAGGCATAGCATTGTCTCCTTCTCAGTCTGCTTTTCATCTTTGTACTGGTAGTTTGGCAACAGCAACCCCTGGCTCACCTGTTCTTTTTTGCTTGGGACATTACTAAGTTATTAGGCCATTTCTTCATTTAGTTGTAGAAGCAGTTGTTTAGGGCCCCGCAGCCACCAGGGGGCCCTGTAAGTATGTACTTACAGACATATAGAATGATAAATAATTTGGCTGAAAAGTGAAATGTTTTTTGCACTTTCACTATAAGTTAATCTTACCCTAATTTATCAAAGTGTTGTTTTGGATGTTTTGAATAAATATTCAGAATTTAGAATTGATATTAGTGGAGCCTTTTAATACAAACTGCATGCTCAGTGTTGCATTCTTATGTTAACTACATAGTTACAGTGTTGGGGATACTTTCCTTCTTTCATACAAAATAATATAATGGGGGCTCCAAATGTTCAGAAATTATGCTGACATAGGCTTTTTATAAATTAAGATTAAATACATGTGATGTTTCTGTTTTCATCAATGTTAAAGAATGTTTGGATAGTCAAAAATTGTTTCCAAATGATATAATGTTACATGATCCACATTCAAATGGTTTCTACAATACAGTATTTAGCAGATGTTGCCTTAAATGCCTTAAATAAGATTAATTCCCTTCAGAAAGAAGCTGATATTTTAAAAATATGCCCTGGAACAAAAGCACTTTGTTTGCTGTAGTCTAAATTCAAACTGATATGTCACAAAGAGGTCAAATTGATAGATGATTCAGCACTTTGAATATGTTTGGAATGATTTCAAAAATAGTTTTCCTAAAATACTTTATGACAACGTAGCTGAATGCCTGCAAAGGTGAAAGAGGAAAAACAAAAACTCTAAGACAAGCAAAGTCTGCCATTTGTCTTTATGCACATCTTTACTGACAAAAAAATGTTTTATTTTAACTAATGTCAGATTCAAAGCATTTAATCTGCATTGCCCCCTTTCCCAGGGATTAATTACACAGATGTTCCACATATACATACACCATATCACAACACAACATGGCCTGATGCAGACAAGCCCACTATTGTGACAGCCAAACAGAACTCAACAAAACAATCCAATCCTCTGTTCCGAGTAGTTACTAGTGAGCCCACACAGCTCTTCCTCTTGTGTGCCTTGTTCGCCTTGCTCAGTTGAATTGGAGCACTCTGTGCCACCTCTTTTCTCTGCATTATCCTCTGAGGACCCACCAGAGCTCTGAGCTGAAACTTAAGAAGATGAAGTCTCAGAGAAGACATGCTATATGTAAGTTTATGTTCTCTTGGCCTGTTTATCATTTCAGGCAACTCTCAATATTTTTGTAAATAGGGGAAGTATTTGTAAAAGTGCATGATGATTTCAGTGTTGTTAAAAAATATAACAGGAATCTGAGATGATATCTGCTTCTTCACAAGCCAAAATTACTTAGTCTCTTCACAGTCTCAGCATTCTAGCCTGAACTTGGTGAGGTGAAAAATGCTAAAAGTTATTCCATAATCATCCTTAATGATCTTTATGTCTTGTCAGAATGTACGGTAATTCACAGTATCTTCCTTTGGTACATGTGATGGAGAACCATGTAGAATGGAGGTCAAGTAGGGAAATGGAGTTCACCAGGCTAAGCACTTCAACTGGAAATAACAATGCAGGTACAGAAACAATGCAGTTTATTGTTTTATTGCAGATTCTGAAAGCTGTGGATCCCTAAACAACAATACAGAGAGAAATGTTTGCCATCCTTTGCTCTGTGCCAGTGTAACTAAGCATTTATTTCAGATGGAGAGTGGCATCTGGTGACAGCCCCTCGTGCAGTGCTTCAGTGTGAAAGAGCAATGAAAAGAGAGGGTCAGCAGGATCAGCTGGAGAGGGAGTTCTACAACAGCCTGCCAAGAGTGAGTTTGCTTTTTTTTTAGTTTACTGCATCATCCCTGAGACATACTCTCACGGGTGCCTTCCATTTTATTGCAGAAACTGTATAGGATTTTGTGAATAATCAGAGCTGAAGCCCCCCTGTGTTACCTACTTGTCTTCTAGGCACATTTTATGCGTCCTGGCTATTTTCGCACCGCAACAGAGCCAAGTGCATTCTCCCCCTACAGACATGATCTCCGCTTCCAGGGCAAAGGGCTGCAGGATCAGAGCCCTAGAGACAGTGGGAGTTATGCGTGTATCCCCCCATCCTCAAAACCACACCCACTGGCACAGCCTGGCTTTTACAGTCCCAAGATTCCTCGCTCTAAACATTGTGAGCCTGCTTTGTCCACAACGAAGACTTTAAAAGGGTGTTCCCCAAATAAAAACATGAAGGAATTTTATTCTCACTCTCTGCCTCTGCCCCACTCCAAGACAGCTGTTCTCAAACAAAGGTGAGATGTTTATGAAGACACTGAAGGAGAACTTTTTTTTTTACTTAATCTCTATCTGTCGCATCTGAAGCATATGTTTGATGACCACAGACAACTAATAAGTTTGATGTGTTTCTCTACGTATTTCTCAGAAAACACATTTACACTTACAATAGAAACCATACAGCATGTTCAGTTTACAAATGTGTTTCTTTTGCAGAGAAGGACAGAGAAAAATATTGAAATTATTGCCTTTGGTAATCGACTGAATGCTACAGATGTGGCTGATTGAGATTATCCTCAAAATAAGCTCCATCGACCTGTTTTTCAGCCTACTGTACTGATAGGTACACAAAAAGTACCACTGTTTCAGTAATAGCTTGCTCAGGTAATTTTACTGTTTTGCTGTTATAGTAGTAGGTACCAAATCTATACCCATATCCACAGCATCAACACAGAGGCCCCCTACTATCCTGCTCGCTTTAGTGTCCCACGGGGAGGGGGTGGGAAAATTATGGGAAAGTGGGACATGTCCCCCCCCCCCTTTTGCTCCCACACCCAAGATTCAAACAAGGGCCCCATCAGTAGAGCACTGTCTTCCATTCAGTCACTGCAGACTGGACCATTGAAGTAGAAGGGGCAAAGATATCTGATCCAACAACTCAGACATGATGGCTTTTTCAGGATTGGGATTCAAATGACTTCTCAGTGCAGAGCATGGACCTTTTAGTCTGCCTAGGATGTTTGCGGCTCTACGGCGTATGCTTCTGCTCCATATTCCTCTGTTTGTACATGTCAATACTGTGTATATGTCTGTGGTCTTTGTGTGTTTATTTTGGTAGTGGACTGTGCAGCAAACCACAAGGAATCAAGACTTCAGTGGTGGAAAAGCCTCGTTTGATGAGGGCGGTCATTTCACAAATATCTCCAGATTCAAACCAACTGGTCCAGCAGCAGTACAACAAACAGTTTCAGCATATCAAGAAAGAGGATATCCAGAACAAATGCTTCTCCAGCCAGCATCAGTCATCACTAAACCTACTCAGTACTGAAGCTTCCAGGAAAGATGAATTTATCTGGAATCATGGTCAACCACAGTCCAACCAACTGCAGAGCACACGACACCAAAGTTCCTTCAGACTGCCGAAATGTGCCCAGGATTCACGTGAGATCAACACCAGCTATATGCTTCCACAGACCCAATCAGTGGACCAGACTGACATGCATCTGAATTTACAGTCTTCATGTTTCTGTAAGTTAAGACTGTATAATGGCAACTGCATTCATAACACTCAGGATAGTGTCGACTATTGTTTGCACAGCAACATGCCACAGCCCATTAATGACCTAAAGGACCCAAGGAAGAAGAAGCATGACTCCAAAGACAGAAAAGACGGCAATGATGTCGGAAACAATGTTTCTAGCAATATAAGGTGTGTGTTAAAGTTAGCATGTTTTTGCAATACAAAGTTGTTTTGTAAAGTAAGCTAAAAATACGTTTTGTCGTAGTCCATAAAAAAAGCTCATTTTTTTCACTTTTCATTTTTCAATATCATTTGAGCACAGCAGCTGTCTTTATGGTATGTGAAAATGTCAATGGATCAATAGGAATCTCTTTTTTGTGTATGGGAATACTGACCATATGTAGTCACATTTTTTTTATAATTCTAAATTTTACATTATTGTTGAAAAGTTGAAATTACTTAATAACTGATTTTATTTTATTCAATAACAAACTGAAATGACTGAAATCCTATAAGATTAGGTACCAGAAGGCATTTTAAAATGTTTTATTCAATATCTTAGTTTTTTGGCAACATCAAGAAGTTACTGAATATTATTAAATTATTATTAATGTGTTATTTATATGATAATCAATTACTTACAGTAATTCATATCAATCCAGATTTTTTTTTACCACTTTTCAAATGTAAGGCAGTCTGGACATTAACATTAGAACTTCACTCTCAATGTTATACAGCTTTCTTGATTATGAAATCATCTATAGCTCTTTTTATCACTCTGGATACATTAAAATTTCTTAACCTCTTTACAGCTTCCTACAAATTAGTGGAAAACTAAAGTTGTACAGTACTATTATCATAAAAATAATAATTTTGTACATGTATCTTCAACAAATTGTGGATTATACTTTTTTATAGTGTGTCAGTGACCACCTTACAACTTACAGTAGGCTGCCATACCTTTTAAAGTAAATAGTAAGCTTTGATAAATAATCACATTAATAAGTTAGATTTTTGTGGAAATATTTTGGATTTTTTTTCCAGAGCTTTGCAGAGTGGGGCCTTCTTTGCATAATTATGTGGTGTCCCTGCTCTAACACACCTTATTCAACTTATCAGGTAATTATTAAAGCCTTTCATGAGTTGAGTCAGGTGTGTTGGCACAAAAATATGACGTTGATTATGTACAACTCTTACACTGTAATCATTTGAATAATGCGTTAACAGCTTTATGTTTAAATCTCTGCAGCCATGTGGACATGAACTCAAGAAACGTGTTTGGTCAGCCCCGTGTGATTGCCACACTTCGCGCATCATGCTCCCCACGACTGGCTCGGAAAAGCACTATAGTGGAGGACCTGAAAAAACTCATTGTGATGGATGACATAACTGACAACTCTCACTGTGGCTCGGTGCGTGATTTCCCTTTTACATATTTCAAGAGCAACAACGAGGGCCCAAATTAATGATGGCAACCAATGAAAAACATGCCCTAAAACAGAGTCTGTCATGTTGCAACATGGTGTCATTTTTGCTATTGCTACTGTCATTATGCAGCTAAATTGATATGTTTTGTACCAGCCCTGTCTTCAGCAAACACGAACAAACAGCAGCCTTACTGAGTACATACAGGATTCAGCATCATCAAGCCCTCTCCTCAGCAGGCATGTTGTCTCCAGGCCCAGCCACCTCTCTCTGCAGTCTAGTCCCACAGGTAAGTGTTGCTGAGCATTGGTCTAATAATATGAATTTCCTCTGAGCGTTCTGGTCAGATGAGTCCTTTTTAAGGAATAGCCCATTGTTTTTCAACCTAATCTCTATCTGCTGCATCTGTAGCATACTGTCAGTTACCATGTGCAATAGTTTTGATGTTTTCCTGTATTTAGTAAAAGAAAATAACTGTAAACTGTATTGATTCAAAACATTTGTAAAAGAAGCCCCTATTAGCACCTGACTGTTAGCTTCTTTTGTAAGTGTGCTTTGATTCAATAACTTTTCTGTTCTTTTCTACACTGTAAAAAATATACAGTTTTTAAACTTAAAAAAGTAAGTAACTGGGTTAACTTGAATAAAACTTCAAATGTAAAACTATTTTTTTGTGAATATTACAAATTCAATGAACTCAAAATTTCAAGGTGCTGGCAACCCAGTTACTTACTTTTTTAAGTTAATAAGCTGTATATTTTTTACAGTGTATTGAACATGAAACTGCATCTAATATACTGCCTGTGGTCAACCATATGCTACAGATGCAGCCAGGAGAGCTCAGGTAGAAAAACCCTTAAAGGAACAGACTATTCCTTCACCGTTCAATAAAATAAATACATTTTGCCTTAAACTCCACCTGAAATCAACTTCTTTTTACCTTGTTAGTCAATGTCCTTGGCCATATTAAGCACGATTCATCAGATCACCATTTAAAAGCTTCTCCCATAATCGTCCATGAAAATGTCATGACTTTTGACCACCTCAAAACTGTTTTAATGACATCACTGTGCACCAGTGGGCAGAGAAAAATAACATTAACCAATAATATCATATTTTACCTCCATCAAGCACTCCTTAGCTCATAGACCTTAACGTAGTACTGCATTTTACTTGGAAATATATCATTCCCTGTATATTTTTCCCCTAGTGTGTCAGCCGATGTCTGCTAAGTCTGCAGAATGGGACAGAGACCTTCAGTTTGACCATGGACTTCTGCCTCTGCCAAATACAGATCATGACCTTGATTGGAACAGCTTGGTCAATGCTGCCGAGGCTTATGAGAGTAAGAATGGGGAAAAACTATATATTTTTCAGTTTGCTTATACCTCACAAGAGTTAGTGATTATTAATTCTGTATGTTTATGTTTGTAGTGCAGAGGATGGAAGGTTTCCTGTCTGCTGAACCCCACAACATGCTCTCAGGCACGAGTCCTGTATCGCACAGTCCAGCTTACAGTGGCCAAAACGTTCCTCATGTTAGTCCCTCTGTTAGTGGAGACACAGAGTGCGTAGATCTTTTTTCTCTGTATTATAGCCATTCATTGATAAATAAAACTGTCTCAGACTTAAAGTGGGCATTCTGGCCAAAATGGAACATTTAACCCATCATTACCTCTGTTATAAACAAGCTTAATCACATCCTACAGTGGTGCCACAGTAGCCTTAAGAGTGACATTTTATGGTTTAAAGATCAGGAAAACCCCTTTCTGATTATGTATCTGAAAGCATGCATTTTTTTTTTCTTTTTGCTAGCAAGGCAGATGTAAATGGTACTGCTAAGAAGCTGAATATCTTATTGCAGCCATATAACTGCCATTCCTTTACAGGACAACAAGCTAAAAGCTAAAGTTAGCAGCCTGGCTGACTTCAGTTTGTCTGGCTAAAAGAGTATTAATTTTGTGCTGAATAAAGGTAGAGTCACTGTTTTATTTACAACTTTGTTCAGTGACCAAGGTACAACGTACACTAACGCTAGCTTGGTTATATTGATTAGCCTATAGATCAGTGGCTAGGCTAGCAGTCCAATTGGTTGACACCACTGCAATTCCAAATGGTTGGATGATCTGTTTGTGTAATGCATGCTGGGTATTGTAGCGAGAGAACACTGACGAATGAAAACATGAAAACGACATATAATCACAAACTCTGTCAAACTGATGAGGCTGGAGGATGCAGTGCTGCACAACCGAATACCACATAACATGACAAATGACATATTAAACATACTACATCTAGTTTTAGTCCAGAATCCCCCTGTTACAATGCTTCAATCCCTCAACTCCTACACTACTGGTCCACACAGATCATACATCATTAGGTAATACTGAATTCCTGAATTAGTGTTTTGTATGTGTTTGCAGTAATGATGTTTTCATTGACCTTCCTGACCAAATCTCCCACCTAGAAGCAGTGCTGAGAAGACTGAGCAGAGATCTTTTGAAGGTGAGGCTCATTTAGCAGCTAATGAATGCCAACACATGACCTCCGAGCGCAGGTGTGTGGTGTCTTCTCCCAGAGGACAGCTGTGCAAATTTTTCACACGTGTTCCCCCTCTGTCCTCTGACTCAGGAGAAGAAGGACAAGGTGGCTCTGCTGGCTGAGGTGCTGAAACTTCGCATGAGCAACCAGCACCTGAAAGAAGAGTCCTGGTCTGCTAATGCACAGCTACACAAAATCTGCCAAATATTTAACATAAGTATGTATGGAGTAGGAGAGGAAAGAAAATAGAAGGATATGTGAAATATGAAAAGAAGTGTATTATCCATCCTTTTGATACATGCAATGACAAAATCTACAAAACAACAAAAAACATCTCACAAGTCAATTAACTCTGTTGAGAGGTGTGTTAAAACCATAATATGACCTACAAGCAAACATTTCTTGTATAAATAACACAATTAAAACACAATAAAGGCCACTGTATTTAAATACACAATAAATAAAGCTTAATACATGTTTTGTTATACTTAGTCGGTGCTTTTTCCATAAAAATGTCATCCTGCAGAAACCCCAATGATGACCTACAAAGTATAATATTTAAAACCACAGATAATCCTTGAAAAAAGTATTTCCAGTGTCTGAATGCACTTTTGTTTTTAAGTTTTAAAAAAAAGTTTTACTGTTTTATACCGAACCTGCACCGCAACGCATGCCAGAATTTGTTATTTGTTACAGTAAAATACTTTAAAATAACATGTTTTGTAGAACTTCCACAGTTGGTGTTTAACCACTACAATAATAAATTTCAATAAATTTCAATGTAGTTATTTGAAGAATCCACAGCCTATTTAGTTATTGCCTTTGAATAATCAGATTTTCATGACTGCTTCAGAGACATGCTTGCTCAAGGCATTCCCCTGGAAGCAAAGTACAAATCTCTGTGTGCCAATAACATATGCAGGGGGCTCAGGATACAGTCCTCTGCTTCCTCGTCTGCCTGCCAGCCTTCACTACGCACATTACGGTTTTGCTGGCGACTGAAGTGCCTTGCTTTCAGGCTAAAACAAAGAAACAGCAGAGGTTTAGGATGAGAAGGGGGTTCTATGAACTTTCATGAAACAAAGCAGTGATTGAAATTTAGTAAGCATACCAGTACAAACGTCTCTCTTGCTTAGGCATTATATGCCACAATTTGGCCAGCTCTTTGGTAACCACAGTCGAAGGAGTGCCAGGATGCGTTCTGCTCAGAGGTCAGAGACATGTTTGGTCTTCCATCCATTGATCTCTATGAATTTTTAGAAACATCCAAAATCCTCTGAAGGAGACTGACAACCCAATCTGTAAGAAGGTGAAATTATACACTCACCTAAGATACAATCTCCGGTTCACTCGGCAAAACATGATAAAGCCATTCACACATTTCTTCTTCGGGCTAGGGTTTGTAACATCCTGGCTCTTGTTGAAGAATCTCCTGCGACGAGCTTTTGTTGCTGTTCTCTCAGGAATGCGCTGTTTTGGGGTCCAGTTCATATAATCTGAACCTCTATCATCTTCCTTGCTCCGCAAAGAAAAACATCATTGCTATGTTAGCAATGTTATTAGCACAGTGTGCATATTTAAGAAGCTTTTGATTCAGTCTGCATGTTAACAGAGATTAAAAATTTACTCACTGACTCATCTGGAGATTTGTGTTGTAAATTGGGTGCTTTGAGAACAGTAGGTTTAGGAGTGACCCATACATCTTCAAATAATGCTGTAATAGGTAAAAATAAAGAGCAAACAAGATGACATGGACAAAGTCTTAACTGTGTCACCGTGTTAATAAATAGCTCAAGAAAAAAGTTTTGAGAGTTTCAATTCGCATTTCCTTATAATCATTTAATTCTCAGGTTATTTAATTTACTATCATTCATATAAGGCTTGATAAGTGCAAGTACAGTCTGTGCAACTTTGCTGTCCCAGAGTGTACAGTTCCAAGGTCTTACTCTGCAGCTCCTCTTGTCTATTGGGTAGTAGTGGGTGACTGAGGCCACGAGCTGGTGATGTGAGCAAAGAGGGGCTAAGATTCAGGCCCTTCCCAGCTCCCAGCAGTGGGAGTAGTGGCAGTACAGGTGTCTGTGGGAGTGTGGGGCTAGCAGGCAACTGCTTTTTCCCCAAAGAAGGGAGAATTCCCAGCATCCGGTCTTTCAAAAGAAAGGACCTGAAAACAGAAAAAAAACGGAGTGAGGCAAAATTTCCTTCAGAAATAGTATATAAATTGACTGGTAATTAGAATCACCAACATCAAGACAATTGACAAGGAAAAGTAATATTGGGGTAGTATTGCTTTAAAAAAAATCTCAAATGTCCCTGAACAGTCACCTCTAGCCAGCTGCTCAGATTTCTGAGGTACTGCTTATCAGATTGATTACCACCCATTTTTCTCTTTATGTTGCAAATTCTTTGCACCTAAAGTCCATTTTCCTGTCCTTCTGGTACATGTATAATTCATTCAAACAAAAATAAACAGACACATTACCCAGAAGGTGGAGTATCAAGGTCGTTGCTTCCCAAGCTCCCATCCTCACTTCCTGTCCTGTCCTCACAGACAGAACACTGGCTTCCAAGTCCTTGACAGGGGGATTCCTGATCCACACTGCTTCCTGCTTACAGACATGGGCGCAAAGAAAGGCAGAACCTAAACAATGCTTTACTACCAACAATAACAATTACAGTAAGTACATCAACATGCTCTTTCAAATGCTTAAGACAGACGTAGTTAACCACGTTGCAGTCACTACTGGCTGCTTTCTGAAAACAAATTCACTGCAAGCACAGGAGGACTACAGCATTCCTCAGCTAGCAAAGCAGTGCCATGTTTATGTTCTTGATCTAAACATCACTGTGTGTACATGATCCCATTTAACAGCACAACAAAATAAAACAAAACTTTTACCTGTTCTGGAAGAAGATGTTGTTGGCAACAGCGCATTGTAGTAGGAATCAGAAAAATCTGGGTGTGTTTTGCTGTCGCTCTCGTCAATAAAGTACACTCCTTTATCAGAACTCCCTGTAGGGGGATACGCTCTGTTTGTGTTGGCCGTGACATGTCTATAAGCATCTTCTTTATGAAGACTGCTACTCCTGTCATCAAAAGATTCTAAAAAATGTGCATCATACAATACATCTGAGTAGCAAGTAACACTTAAGATTTATCTCTGTTTTATACTGTCTATTTATCTGCCTAACCTGGATTAGATGTGGTTTTCTTGCGTGAGCGAGTACAGCTGTACTTGCGCTTCGCCTTCAGTAAGTGTGGAGGTGTGCTGGGCTCTGAGAGAGGCGTGTCTTCACTCTCTGACTCAGACTCTTGCATGCATACACATACACAGATACACAAAAACTATAAATACATGAATACATCAACCAACAAAAAAACAGACCTATCAGAACTGAAAGAGATGATTTTACATAATGAGGACTGATACTACAGAAATTGACTGCACCTCTATCACTGTTGTTTGGGAGGCAGTAGGATGGGAGGCTGCTCTGTAAATTCTGAATATGACTCTGAAGAAAATCAAAGTATTGCAGCATGTGGATCAGTGTTTCTTTCTGTAGATCAAAATGAGGACAGAAATATAGAAAACAATGTTTTCACAGTAAAGCAGTGGACGATAAAGGTTACATATTGCAGCAGAAACACATTGTGAGATGACCTTAGTAAGTCCTCGACCACTGGCTGTCCCAGAAATAGGTAGCAAAAGCCCGATCTCCTTCAGGCTATTGTTCCAACCTGTGTTACAGTCATAGCTGTCTCTAAAAAGTCCAACAATATTATCAGACAGAGACAACTGCATTTTCCATTGCAGACCTACTGTAGCCCCAAAAAGTATTAAGACACTTCAATAATTTAACTATTGGTACACTTTGATGATGTTAAGTTATTTCATAAAATACTTAAATGATATTTATTATAGAGAAACATATTTTTAGCATAACATTAAACTGATGGTAGACTGTATGGAGAAAGCCTTGAGAAGAATTCCAAACAGACTGCACTAAAAGTAATCTGAAGCACAGAGGTGGAAACCTCTGGGGCTGTTTTTCTTACAGTGGTGACGGTGGGGTTGTATACACTGAGGGGATCATGAGCTCAGAAGTGTACAAAGGTATTTGCATGCAAATCTGCACAAGTCTGCAAAGACATGGCTCAATCTGAAACACTCCAGTCACCTTCTGAAAGAATATTTTGTCTTGGAATGGTCTATTTCAAATAATTTTCATTTGGTTTGACATTTTATTTCCTAACACAATGAACTTAATAAATTTTAAATACAGCACAAATGCCCAAATACTTTTTAGGGGCACTAAATATTACATAAACAAATATAATGCTTTAAATCAGCAAAATTGCATAGTCTAAGAATAGTTCTGTTACATTACAAATAGAACAACCACATCCTAGAATGCATCACCTTTTCTTGCAAGTCTTGTCTTTCTGTTTCATAGTGGCTGGTGCTGGGGTTTTGGCCGGTGTTCTGATGGAGGTCTGCAGTGTCACCAAGAGTACAGACCTGTATTAAATGTATTTGTTTAACCTTACTTTGCAGATCCAATTGATCACTTCATTACGTACACTTATCCTGTATCTACTCTCTTTGTCCATTTTATCAGGTACATTTACCATATAGGTGCATTTTGTAGTTCTAAAATTACAGACTTAGTCCACCTGTTTCTCTGCATCATTTGTTAGCCCCCTTTCATCATGTTCTTCAACAGTCAGAACCCCCACAGGACCACCAGTTAGTGTGTGTTGAGCTGGTAACACTGGATCAGACACAGCAGTGTTTCTGCAGTTTTATAACACTGTACCTACTCCCGGTCCACTCTATTAGACACTCCTACTGTGTTGGTCCACCTTGTAGATGTAAAGTCAGAGACAGTTGTTCATCTGTTGTTGCACAGTCTGTATTAGTCATCCCCTAGTCCTTCATCAGTGGTCACAGGACACTGCCCACAGGTCGCTGTTGGCTGGATATTTTTGGTTGGTGGACTTATCCTAGCCCAGCAGTGATACAGAGGTGTTTAAAAACTCACCACTTCTGTGTCTGATCCACTCATACACAACACAACAACATGCCACCACGTTCTAGTGCACTGCACTGTAATGGTACAACTACAAAGAGCACCTATATAGTAAGTATAAAATGGACATTGTGTGTAGACACAAGGTGTATATATATATATATATATATATATATATATATATATATATATATATATATATTGTTGAGGACACTTAACTGACACGACGACACTGTACTTGGAGTCACATGCTAACTTGCTAGCCACTAGCCTCAGTTAGTTCACCGTGTGGACCACAAAGCTAAGAGAGCGAGAGCGGTAAAGCAAATTACTACTTTTGGAGAAAAGTACTCTTTACTCTTTCTGGCAGTTAAATATATCATTGTTTGTTACTATTCCATTCACTTACCACGTCGTAATGAATAAATAACTACCACCGTTTCTAGTTTATCATGACAGTGAAGTCCCACACCGCCGCCCGTCCTGCTTTATTGTTTTGTTCAGCTGCCATTGGCTGCATTGGGAAAAATTGGAACGCGAAAACAGCCAATCATAGCTCATTGGCTAAGAAACAACATCTAGGATTCGCAGGATAGATACCGCGCGACACTCTGCCAGCGGAATTTCTGCCTGCAGCTTATTGGACGCAGGCGTTGCTATGCAGTTGCTTGGCGGAAAAGTTCACTCAGCTAAAGTGAGCTGTGTCTCGCTGACTGTAGAGGGCGGTGTTGTCTTCTGAATTAACGATATGATCAGAAACTGCTAAAACAATATCAGAAAATAACACAACGGCAGAACTGTGAAATATTTTAGCACAGCAAAGAACCGCGTGTGGTTTTGCAGGGTTGGAGTTTGTATTCTGTTCATTATCTCCTAATGTCCCGGAGGAGTCAGTCTGACTGTGGACGGACAGAAGTGGTTCCCGCGCCTCACATCACAGCTCGTTCTCTCAGCTCGCGCAAGATCGTTCATCCAGAGGAGAGAAACACTAACGACGTAATAAAATCATAAGAATTGCAAAACTTCAATAAACAAAAATGATTAAAAAAACATTAAAAAATAAACAATCAAGATGTACAAAATATAAACAAAAAATAATAAAATTATCTTATGCGTAATCTATATTTGTTTAAACCGATCAAACATATTTTTTTCTAAGAATTACAAAGGCAAAAGGGGATGTTTATGTTAGTAAACGCCAAACAAAACAGCATTCAGTACTGTATAAAACGACAAAAAGAGGAAAAATGTTACATTTTCATTCATGATGTGCTTGTTTAGTGTGATTGGTCACTGCTAACGGACAGTATATGAAGCAGTAACCTGTACGGGTTTTCGGTCATACCGGCTTTGGACGAGCAGCTGCGCTCTTGCATTAGTCTCCGGGCAGAGAGGGAGAGAGTCTGCAGGACACAGAGACGGCCAACACCACAACTCCGAGCTGAAACGCATTCAGCGGTTAGTCATGTGGACTGTATTTGGATGATTTGCTCTCACTAGACCGGCCGACTGCCTCAGGACTCGTCTGCTGTCGAGAGCTCCGTGTGGCTCTTCAGAGAGAACGCAGGTAAAGGCGATGATGGAGGCTGCTGGTCTTCTTATGTCTGATTTAATGTGCATTTTGTAACGGCCACAGGGACGGTGCACGAGAATTAGCATGTTTAGGGTACTGTATTGCCTGTTATCTCTGTCAAATACCTTTGTAGGCTAAATGCTTATATGATACAGTCTCGTGATTTTATTTTGTAAAGCAGTTTAATGTCTCCTGAGGTTTTAGAGTACGGAAATTAATGCACTAAAGCGCAGCAAAGCGAAGCACCATTGCAGATCAGTTGTTAAAGTTTGTCGTGTATAAACTAAGTGCACGTTTTTTTTTTGCACCGCAGACGCTCTCCCTGTTGATCTGAGCCTTTTCCTCGTGTCCACACAGATGTGATCAGGTCGTGCAGCGCTGTGAGATGAGTAGGAGGTCCAGGGCTCCTGCTGCTGCCTCCACCCTGCGCTGTGCGGCTGCTGGCACATGCGATCAGCGGCCGGTGTGCAGAGCGCGAGTGCTGCTGCTGTGCCTGTGCATCCTGCTGGCATTTGCTCTCACTCTGGGACTGATTTTGTCCGAAAATGAAACGAGAAGACTCGAAGACATGCCAGTCAGAGTGCCAGATCTGAACAAGGATAAAGTGGGTAAACCTGAATCTCTCTCTCTATCTCTCGTTCATCGGTTTACACTAACTGCTGCTCACTGGGCTCCGGCGCTGCTGTTGCTCAGCAGAGAATTAGGCTAGAATTAGTGATACACGACTCTTTCTCTGGAGTCGACACCGACTCTCGACTCCCGCTGCAGGTATCGATGGAGTCGACTCTTCGATTCCTCTTAATTTTAACCAAGGCAGCGCCACAGCCGGTCATAAAGGGAAACAACAGATATTAAACCATCTTAAACTTATAGTTACCCAATGTTTGGAGTAGATATAGATTACAGTAAATTTAATTATACTAACATCAGGTAGTGTCACAACCCTGCTAGAAAAAAACAGCATTGTGTTGTGGATGCTGGTGTGGTGGTCAGCAGCAATGGAAGTTAATATGCTGATCCCCAGCAAAAAACAGCACATGTTGTGTTTTTAATGTTGGTAATGCTGGACAACCAGCATGGCCATGCTGGAGTGACCAGCTAAACCAAAACCATACCAGCTTAGACCAGCATGCTGGTCTGTGCTGATTCTTTTCAGCAGGGAAATGATAACAGCTGACTAATGTTTCAACAATCGTCAGATAGCATATTTCACATAATGACGGGTGAGGGGAAACTCGGGGTGAGAAAATCATTGAGTCATAATTCTCAAATAATTTTCTCAAATCATTTTCAAATTATTTTAAATTCTATGAAAAGGAACCAATTTTTTATTCAATATTTGGATTTTATCCTGCTCCTCTTTTCATGAGGCTGAAGTTGGCTTCGCATTCACCAGCTCAGTCAACTTCCCTCCTTAAATAATGCAGAATTGTCCTTAATGGTGCGTGGGCGCCAGAATATAACTGCGGCACCGTTTAAGGTGGAACGGAATTTTTTGATAAGTAGCGGGCAAATAAGAAGCCAGCTTCAGTTCACGCCCTTTTCCACATGTGAAAAAATGTTTGTTTTTGGTTTTCGTTTGTTGTACTATTTAGAATCGTTTTTTATTGCAGCCCTAGTGAAGAAAATGTAGAGTTGCACTGCAGAGCGGTGCAGTGCAGAGGCTGGCATATCAAACCGTTTTAGTGCGCAGTGTTTTTTGCTTACAGCAGCTGCTGAGCAGCGTTGGCATTGTTTAAAGTTGCCAATTAAACACTCACACACTCCGTCAAAATGTCCCTTCGGGCAGTTACGATAAAAAAAAAAATCAGGGAGTCGAAGATCCGACTCCAAGCGTTTCGACTTTCAGAGTCACTGGCGAACAATGGATTCTGACTCTCTTGGAGTAGACGAATCGATTCTGCAATCAACTCCCCATAGCAAGAATAAGTTAACGATGAGCAATATGACGATATTTGGTGATAGATATAAGGAAATCCCGTCATTTTGCTGTCAGACTGTAAAAGTGTACTTTTGTTTGGCATGAATATTAATGTGTTTTATATGGCCGTTCTTCAAGATCCGTTTCAGCGCGATTCAGCTCAGCCTCGCCCCAGGAATAGAGCTGGAGGTCAGAGTTCCACAAGCTTCGTGGCTCATGGGCGCCCCACTCTGGTGCAACACGACCGCCTGTGGCCTGCGGCTGCGGTCCAAATCTCTGCATAGGCAGCCCAGACGCAAATTAAATCATATGCCTAGACTAAAATGGTTAATTACCACTGAGTATTAGAGACTGGACGTAATTCATGTCCAGGCAAGTATAATTAATAGTAGCAACGATTTCGTCTTCCAGTTTTCCTTTTTAATAAACAATAGTGCTTTGACTGCCTTTGGGAAAACTCAACACTACGCTTGAAGTATTTTCTATTTGTAACAATTTCAGATGTAAAGGGTTTTTGAAATGGATAATAACTGATTTTAATGGCAAACGCATTTTTATTAAAGATGGTTTTATCATAATATATCATTAATATTTTATGATGTGTGTAAAGCCCATCACCCATTTATTGAAAAGGGTCTGTAATGTGTTTTGCAATGAAACCCTTTGTTTGTTTGTAGGCCTAGAGTAGTAGGACCTAGGCACTAGAGTAGTAGACTTAAACACCTAATTGTTACTGGTGTCCACATTTCCATCATGTAAATCTGCATATGTTGGGTTCTTGTGTGGTTTAATTTTTTTTGTTTCCTCCAGCTGACTCATAGGCCAAGTAAGCCCACCGCAGCGCAGGTGAAGCGCCTGGTCTCTGAGGTGAACTGGTCTCGGCTATGGTACGCCCAACTCCAGCCTTTCCTTATAGAGAGGCATCCTGGGTCCCGCGGCAGCCGCACTGTTCGAAGGGTAAATTTAGCAATGCTAAATAATTAAATGGGCAAGGGGCACATTAGTCAAGTAATTATAATTATGTACGGGCAATATATCTGACTATTTTGGGCAAAAATGTTCAAAAAAGACTTGCTTTGGCTTTTAAAACTGTGTTTCTGCTCCCTTTTCATTTCAGTTTAACTACTTTTACCTTTTCTGCATTACAATATAGCACATTTCCTCCCTGCTGGACTCTCTCTCAGCGGGCTGGTCAGTGGAAATTGATTCCTTCAACTCCGAAACCCCTCGTGGTCCAATCAACTTCTCCAACATACTTGCAGTGTTAGACCCCAATGCTCCTCGTCGATTGCTACTGGCTTGCCACTATGACACCAAGATCATACCATTAGCCTCTCGTGACCCGAAGCAGGTGTTCGTGGGGGCTACTGACTCAGCTGTTCCTTGTGCTATGATACTCGAGCTGGTCACTGCACTGGATATACACCTGAAAATGCTCAAACAGCAGGTGAGGCGACTATATTCAGATTGTAGAGAAGACTTACTGAATGAGAATTTACAGTGCGGTTTGTCTTCAGCTGCCATAAATGAACAATACTGTGTGCCTGATAGTATAAGACCGTCCCAACCAGACCAATGGCTGAGGTATGTACAGCATAATATATCCTTACCGGCAGTAACACACAGTCGACTGCTGTTCTGAGGGGAAGAAGGACCTCTGAGACCTGATATCGAGTCTCTGTCAGAGCTGTGAATAGCCACCTAGCCGCAGTGCTCTAGAATTACGAACTAGCACTGTCACTTCATCTGTATGAGTTACAGCACACTGTATACATTTTTTCAAATTTAAAAATTTTTCAACCTTTTTCTTTTACTGCCTTAAAATATAAAGTATTTCACCATAAACTGGTTATGGAGGGATATTAGAGGGTGAAAAGAAAAAAGTGAAATCTTCCTCTAGGAAGTCTTCCTCTAAAGATTTTGCTGAGTGGACAGATGCATGGCATGTCTATATAGCATGTCACAAAGGAGGAAACTGATCACTGATGCAGTTTCCTGTATTGACACTTTGTATGTATATTTTTAGACCTTGTTTCTTTCCTATGGAATTGATCGGTTTCTATACCACATAACTATGTTTGAATCATCTGGCTGAATAATTAATGGCTTGCTCTTAAACAAAGTAGCTCAAATGATTCCTGTAAATAGTAAATCTCTTAAATCCATCATGCAAAAGCAACTACTTCAATAGTGTTGCTAGCTTCTCACATTTTAGGAATGTTACTTGATAGAAAACCAAACATACACCAAAAGGAGATAGACTGATTTGGCTCACAAAATAAATCACAGTTCAGTCAGGACCACTCCATCAAGGAAATATTTTATTTTCATTTGCAGTAACTTATATTTGGTGGTAGGCCTCTGTTCTGGGACCCCCCTGCCCTTCCATGTGCATACATGGAAAGCCTAAGGCAGGAAGAACAGTAGAAAGATCCCCCCTAGGGAACAGAACAGAGCAGGCATCAATGACAACAAATATGACATTGAACAAGTCAGATACAGCAGGGAGGAGACGGGTGGAAGTGGGTTGCAAAGTGGCTGTGGAGGAAATAGTGAGAATGGGCAAGCTGATGAATTTAGCCAATTGTATGCCTAGCTGGCAATCAGATGAGCCGTCAGCTAAGTGATATCAGCTCATAACAGCAGGTAACTGTGGCCTGAGCTTGACTTTGTAGACTGCATGAACTAACGCTATGCTTGATGTTTCATCTTTTCCCTTCATGTAGATGGCTCAGGTGACTTTACAGTTGGTGTTCTTTGATGGTGAGGAGGCTTTTGAGAAATGGACTCCTTCTGACTCGTTGTATGGTTCCCGACATCTCGCTGAACACATGTCCCGCATTCCACATCCTCCAGGCTCTGAGCATACTACGCTGCTGCATGCTGTGGTAAGAGCACTTGCATGTTTGTGTGGGTGTTCATATCTGTAGGTATGTGATGGATTAACAAATATATGTATGAACCTTGCCTTTATCTTCTGCAGCTATAATAAGTGTTGTAATAATGTATTGCAATCATATTGTTATTGGTACTACCAGGATCTCTTTGTTCTGTTGGATGTAATTGGAGCCCCACGTCCTATGTTTGTGAATCATTTTGAGAACACAGCTCGCTGGTTCGAGCGCCTTGTTTCTGCAGGTAGGTCTAACTGAGAGGTTCTTACATTTATTACAACTCTTTATCTTTATCTCACGTATATATAATGTATGTCTTCATATACATTATCTGTAAATATGGACCACACTTTTGTTGAAATTTTAGTAAACTTTATTCATCATCATAATAATAATAATAATAATAATAATAATAATAATAAATAAAAAAGATTGTTGCCGTTTAATCTCTGTCTCTCTTCACATGGACCTGCCTTCAAGAGAAGAGACTTCATAAGCTGGGCCTGCTGTCTCTACACCCCAGTGAGCAGATTTACTTCAGGAAAGATGTAAACATGGATCCAGTAGAAGATGACCATATGCCTTTCCTTCGGAGGGGTGAGGACCAGCTGATGACTGAAATTTGAGGTTGTGGGGGGTGACTGCTCATAAAAAACTTAACCCTTACCAAAGAAAGTAAAGCGTAAAATTTACATGTAGGGTAAGTTAACGAAGAAGCTCTCCAGATGTCCCCCTTCTTATTTTTACTTCTCAAATCTTATCTCAACACATTAACTCAATGCTTATGGTGTAACTTATTCAGAAATTTCATCTGAATGACAGTGCTCCTGAGATTTATTCACCCAGAAACTTCTTGGTGTCACTTAAAACCTTTTTGTCTTTGGATTATAGTGATCTATGCATACATATTAAACTGTGCAAGTAACTTTAAAAAAGAAAGATTATTTAGGGGTGTCATTGAGAGAGCAGTACATTCTTTTAAAGTAAAAAAGTAAAATTAGACCTTTGGGACAGGAAGCCCCTCCCAGAACACTGGGATACTGTAAATTAAAGACAAATAACGGTTCTCCAGGGGTGCTTACGCCAGGTACAGGGGGCATCTTGCCCCAGTAGTGCCTCTTTTCCGGATTTTCTTTTTTGTGCTGTATGAATTAAATTAACTGCTGTTCCAGTTTATTTCCCCTAAATGTGGCAATTGCAGATGTAGGAAAACTGGCACCAATGGGGCATAAAGGTAGCTTGCCTACAAAGGGGAGGGTTCTTTATAATTACTGCCTATATTCTAAAGTATATTTAAGCATAAGGCAGTGTCATTTCATATATGCTGTCTAAGAGCTACTATCTGGAATGTCACTCACTGAAGAAAATGTAACAAAAACTTTAACATGCAAGATAGTTTGTTTGTTTGCTCAGTAGCCAGCCTGCTAGTTACATGTTATGCGTAGGTTGGATACAGTTCATCCTGAATGTCACTGTATAATTCACACTCTGCATTGAACATCCTGCTCCCTGGCTCTTCATATTAGCCAATTACATTTTTCTTTTTCTGCATTCTGTTTTGTTTTCTGTTGCTGACTGCAGGAGTTCCTGTGCTGCACATGATTGCTACACCCTTCCCGTCTTACTGGCACACAATGGAGGACACAGCAGACAAGGTCCACAGTCACACTGTGGAGAATCTGACCAAAGTCTTGGTGGTCTTTCTAGCGGAATATCTTGGACTATAGAATAACATTGCATTTACTGGAACCAACCACATCCTTCATGAAATCAGTACCTCACTATCATGACATTGAGCACAAGCAGAATTCAGAAATGTGAAAGATGGCAGAGCCCTTGGTTTGGTGGTCCTGCGTTCAGAGTTGTATGCTATTTGAAAAAGGGGTTTTGAGTAGGTCTTTATGGTTGTGCCATTCTATGTGCAACTGTTGAAAAAATGCTTCCTTAACTATGAATTAGGGTTCTTTGCCATCTAAAGCGTAAAGAATTATGCTGATAACCATTTGGTGTCTATCACAATAGGTCACGTCCTTCAGGTGCTTTTAGGGTAAAACAAACATAATTATAAAAGTAAGATTAAAAGGGAATTTCATTCCACCAAAACTCCATTGCATCAAAATTTCTGCCATATCATCCAAATTTCTGCATAATTCAATAGCTGAGATGTTAGCAAAGTAATTCAGAGTGGTTTGATGTGAAATGGCTCATAGTAGAGAACGCTCCCAATTGTGATTTCTTTACAGTGGTGGTGATAGGAACCAATTCTGACACAGTATGTTTCTCTAGAATGGTACGTTTAACATCAAACCGCTCTGAATGATTTCATTTATAGCTTAAAGATTTAATTATATTTCAAAATATGAAAATATTCAAATTACCCGTTATAGCACCGATAACGGTTGTCCTAATACAGGGGTCTCCAACCTTTACTTATATACACAAGCTACTTTTCAGGGACAAACCATTCTGTGTGGTACTCAAAAACCAATCAATCAGTTTCCCAGTATATTTCATATATACCATGTTTTGTTTGGATTCCAGTCCATAACCATTTTTGTATTCAATCTTTGCAATACCAAGCATGTTTTCAAGAGGGCTTGTCAACAAGTATGGTCCTTATTTAGTCCACACTTACCTAATGTTTTTTGTGCTTGGTGAGACAGTGTTTTTTTACAGATCCACACCTGGTCAAATTACATATTTAATTGATTGTCTAGGTTAACTCTGTAGGTATCCTCTGCAGGGAACAAACTTAAATATGGCATTTTTCTGTAAATTTTAGTGCACCATTTTTATTTATTTGTTGAGTTTAACATATTGGTAAAAAAAATAAAACAAAAAATACAAAGTGTGCCATAATATTTTCACAGACCACATTTTATGTTTTATTTTTTCCCTCAAAGTGTGTTCTCTGTAGAGGATGTTATTCACACTCATCAGCATAACATGTAATTTGACCAGGGGCACCCAAACATTTGCATATGACTGCATCTCATTTTTTATTTTTTTAGCTGTCAGATAGCTGATTGCAGTAGAAGTGATAATTTCCTTTGAGATCCCATGCAAGCATCATTTCAGCTCTCAACTCTCTATTTAGAAAATTGTGCTATAAGCAAATGATAATGCTGGTAATCTATTTAGCATGTTAGCCAGAGACTTTACACAGCATACTTAGAGAATTTATGCTGAATTATACCAATCTGTATGATAAAAGCTCATTCAGCTTTAAAAAAAAATCACATATCAGATTGTAATTAGCTAATATCATGTTGTGTTTAGCATTAGATTAGCAGGCTGGGTTTAGGAGAAGCAGGGTTCAGTTGTGTGACTGGTATGGTTTTATACAGCACATGTAACCTGTGGTTTGCAACCACAGTTTGGAGGCCCTAAACCCAAAGGAACAAGCAGAAGTACCCCTAAATTATATCCAGAATGTTTTCTTTTAAGAATGCAAGATCACTGTCAGGTTAACAGTCAGAATGCATTAATTCTTGTCAGATTAAAGTGCAGACATGACTCTTCCACTGAACTAAAGATGAGGAGCTTGCCTGCTGCCAGGCTTTAGCCCACATAAGAGTAACTATCTTTAGGCAGTTGTATTGTACATTATATAAGCTCAAGCTGCCTCCGTCACTGATGTAGGTTAGCCTACTGTTGAAGTAGTTCAGCAAGCCTCATTTTTCCATATATTTGCATAAGGTGCCTTTTTTATTGAATTATACTGTGAACAGGATAATGCAATAACAAGTAACCTCCTATGTAAAAAGTAATAACATTATGATACAACTGTACTTAGATATAGCCATATGAAAAAGTCTGAACACCCAGGTTGAGCTACATATTTAATTAAATTTAAATGTAATGACATTTATCCACTAAGGAAATCAACATGTAATTTGACCAGGGGTGCCCAAACTTTTGCATAGGACTGTAAATCTTATCTTGCTCTATGAGTAAGACTGTGTGTAGTGTGAAAAAAGAAGGGACTGTATACCGATTACAACCACATATCTGGGGAGTTTCCACAGGTTCAATCAATTAGAGTGCAATAATAATCAACATATAGGATATGCAATATAGACAGACATCTCAGAGCTCAGGAATGGCTATTAACACAGTGCTATCTGTGAATATTACAGTAAAATACTGGCATACTATGTATAACTTGTCTAAACTTGTATCTGCATAAAATAGAGCTGTTCTTCAGGAAATTCCCATTTCCATTAGCCTACTGTGTTGAAAAAGCATTTGCTCCGTCAAAGGTTATGTAATATGTATTGCACTATTGCACTTCTATAGGCCTGTTTCTGTCATACAGGCAAACTATCTCAAAATTTTAGGCTATAAGATGGAATGAATAGACTACTGTTTGCACAGAATGATGTAGTAATTATTTTCTAATTAAAAGAGAATGTTTCACTTGTGTGTTTCGCCTGTGTCTTTCTGTTTAATAAACCACAAAAGCTATATATTATTGACGTTGCTCATGCTTTCATGTCATCATACTCTCACAATATGAGCACATAAATTACATCAGCAGATTGTGAAAACAAATGGTTGTTAGAAAAGGCCATATGAATTCATTTGCTGTCCTGACCAAAATTTTTTTTAAATTGCAGAAATGTTTTGTGGATTAGGCTCAAGTTCAGACAGCATTAATGTGTTGAAAGTAGAGATGGGCAGATTTATACTTCAGTATTGACTGTTCTGATCCTGATGTATCCTTTTGAGAATCGACCCCTACATTAAAAAATCTTTAACTAAAATTTTTAATATATTTGCTTTAATGAAAAGTAGTGTTTGTGATGCTAAAAAGTGAAAAAAGATTGTGGCAAATAAATGTGTAGGACAGTGGTAGGCCCAGTATTACATTGTTTTAATCATTCAACATCCATTATGCCTTGAAACACCTAATTCTTGCACAATTTTACTATAATAGGTTAATGAATGAAGAAATACAGGTTTAGTCTGGACAGTTAAGAGAGTGCTAAGACTAATCCAATGTGCGCAAAATCAAAATAATAATAAGAATAATTTATCAGCTACATAATTCTGTTCTACCACCAGCCAGCTGTAACATCAAACCCAGTGGCATAAAAAACCCAGCTGATTTTTTAACAACCAATTACGAAGCAGTCTGAGTTATGCCCGTCCGATTTGGAGCTGTGGTACCCCCAGTCCCTCCCATTTGGAGGTTTTCCAGTATGTAGTATTACCAGAGCTGGATTATGAGTAGCCTGGCCTATTTCCTATTCCTATTTCCCCCGTTATATCAAAACATGACTGCAAAAAGCCAGAGGGCTCCCGCCAAAGAGTCCTCAATGACTGGGGTTGAATGTATCTAAACAGCTAAAAACAAAAAGTTAAAATAGTTTCTAAACAGTTGCCCAGAACTTTCCTTTAATTTTGTAAAGTATAAGAATGTATTTCACTAAAAAAGCAAAGAAAACTTACCTGTATGTTTTCTTTTTTCTACAAGTTATGGGCAGCAGAAGGCAGGCATTATTGCTACTGAGTGCTGATTGGTTGGCGAGCGGAGCAGCTCATTGGCTGTTCGCGCCCACTGACGTCATGAACGTACATGAGGTCCCGGTTTATACTCCTATAACTCCAGTTCAAAAGCTCTTAAAAATATAACAGCGGTGTTTAAATGTTTTACATGAAGTCGAGAGCCACCTTGTCAAAATATTTTCAGAAATGTAGTTACGTGGTTTTGGCGAGTGGGTCTGTTGTCTGCCCCTTAAGCAGACAACAGACTCGAGCCTCATTAATAATAGCGGGACATTGTACCCATTTCCGCAAATCTTAGTGATTATTTTCTCCCTTTTAAGATTTTAGCGAAGCTGTGGCCATTTTTGTAACTGTTAGAGTCTTGTGACGATTTTGAGTCTAAACAATCTTTCCGCTGAGCTGATGTTAAGAAAAAACAGGTTTGTTTATGGTTTGTTCAGCGCGCTACCCTGTCTTTCATCGCAGGCTGCTGCAGTTGCCCTAGGAGACGGGGGCGGGGCGAAGTGGTTGAAGCAAGACAGGAACTGAATCAGAGAACTTGTAGAGAGGAGATTCACCACTCGGTAATGTCCTCCTAGTTTTTCAAGCGCTAGATGGCGCTCCAGAGCGAGTCCAAAATGAATAGGTTAGTTTGGAGCATTTGAGCAAAATCATAGTTTATAAATTCTTAAACGTTTTAATATGAAATAATGCACTTATTTTCTGAACATAGAACAGCACCAAACATTTTAACACCGCTGTTATATTTTAAGCGCTTTTGAACTCGAGTTATAGAAGTTTAAAGCAGCGCCTCATGTATGTTCATGACGTCAGTGAGCGCGAACAGCCTGCAAACAGCTGCTCCGCTCGCCAACCAATCAGCACTCAGTAGCAGTAATGATAGCGTCCTGCTGCTCAAAACTTTTTGCTGTAGAAACAGGAAACATACAGGCGTTTTTTCTTTGCCTTTTTAGTGAAATTATATATATATATATATATATATATATATATATATATATATTATATATATATATATATATATATATATATTATAAGTAAACATTTACTTTCCAAAATTAAAGGAAATCCTGGACAAGTGGTTAGAAACTATTTTAATTTTTCGATCCGTTTAGCTCCATTCACTCTTCTACATTGAGGACTCGCTCGCGGGCGCCCGCTGGCGTTTTGCAGTCCTGTCGGCTCCCCTTAACCTCTGACTGAACCCTTTTTCGCCCCATTCTCTTAAATAGACATGCACCATCTTGGTTTACTTTATATACAATCTTTGGTGTGCTACCCTACAGTCCCGCTTACAGCCAAACCACTAGAAGGCGCTGCTGCAGAGAAACTGCATTCAGCGACGAAAAAAATAAGGTCATGACAAAACTGTGGTAACCAGGCGGTTAAAAGCTGAGAATAACCGGTGAAAATCGTAGAATGAGTTCTGTCCATATTACCATTTGTCACTGTCAGTGACACACAGTACGGATATCGACACGTCAGTGACAGAGCAGGTAAAGTAGTTACTGTCTGTTGTGCTGTGTAAGCTTGAGTTTGCTGGCTGTACGAATAACGTACACCATGAGTTGAGTAAACGGTACTGTATCATGTATCTGGTCCCGGAAGACTGATCTTCTTTTACTGAGGTTAATTTTAAAGACCGATGGGTAACAGAGAGCAGTAATTAACTGTTAAAACGTCTGAGCATCTGCTGTGAGCTAAAGAAGCTGAAGTCTGCTTCTTATTCACCAGCTTCTTGTTCGAATTCTGTCGTTCCACCTTAAATGGTGCAGCATTTAAGGTGGAACGGGAAAATTAGAATAGAACGCCAACTTCAGCTTAAGACACTGTCAAAGCTGTCATAGCCGTAACTCGTTTATGTCCACATCTGAAATTAAATTTCATTTGGTTCATGTGTTTTCTGAGCTCACCTGTAAGCACGAATTTAAAAAAAAAATCGTTCAGACTGTGGCCGAGACTGTGACTCCCTGCTCTCCATTTTGTGCACTATGTAGGTCATGAATCAACGATTTCAGCAACTAAATTATACATTATATGTTTAATATGAAACTCATTTAAATTCACCCATGAGCTCCACGGCTCCCTATCTGCACACTTTGGGTGTAGAAGCCATAGTTTAAAGTGCTATGCAGTGCACTAGAGAGGAATTAGGGAGCCATTTTAACAACAGAATCGAAAATCCAGATTTGTTTGTGAAAACACATGTAATAAAAAATGTCATGTTCATGTTCACATATAACTATGCAAAATTCCTTCACTCCAGGACACTTCCACACCAATCAGGACAAGTTTTCCTTACCATACAACGTTTAGTTTTTTTTTTAATTAAATAGGTTTAAACAGTTTTACAAGTGTTACTGATCTACATGAGCAGATAAACACTCATGTTGCACCTTTTTTATTTTTTAAATATTGAAAAAATGTCTTTACACACAATTAGAAACAACTTGCTGTTGCATTGTTGCCCTTTTTGGATTTTGTCCCTTATGTCTGTTTTTTTCTAAAGGTTACTCTTCCTACACTCCCTACAACACTATGGTGCGCCACAGTAAGTTACAGAAACAGATCTTATCACTGTATCGTCAGTTTCTACGTGCTGGACGAGGCAAGCCGGGGTTTGTACCCAGGATACGTGAGGAGTTCCGGGCAAACGCTGCCATCAAAAAGACAGACGTCATGCACATAGAGTACCTCTGCCGGCGGGCCCAACGGCAACTGGAGCAACTTAAAGATGTAAACACCAAACAGCTGGGAGTCTTCAGCAAAACCGAGGAGAACAGCTGATTGACCGTTTGTCTGTGATGGACAACCATTGATTTGAGAACAGTGTTTCAGGCAGTGCCAGTCATAGAGAATCATTTTGTTCAGTTTTAAATTGATGATGGATGTAATACATTTTAAGTAATTGTGTTTTTGAACTGCGTTCTTGTTTGGCTGGCAGGTTTGTTTCACACTGGCTTACTCCACTGTCAGATTCTCATACAACAGGAAAAGTTTCCTCTGTGTAGTGGGAACTTTCAGAACTTTATGCTCTGATCCATCCAGACTCAAATTATGACCACCAAGACAGCACAAGGTGGCTGAATAAATGAAGTTACTCTTTTAACTGGCCATGTTTTTGATCATTGTGCAGCAGTAAAATGTTTGTCCAAGCATTTATGAAATCTGAAGCTGCTGCAGCACCTTTAGAAATACTGTAGGGTCAGTAATAGTGATTGATCATTTTTCTGTGCTTCTTACACCAGAACTTTTATACTTTTATTTGATTTGTTTCAAAATGTCAGTAGTGTTTACTGGTTATGTAGTAATGTCACTGAAAGTAATTTTCAAATATTATTTACATTGTCTTCAGTACAAATTCATAGTTCGTTGCAAGTAATGCACATTCAAGATGTCATTATTGTTACATTTCTTTCATTAACTATTAAAATGTCTGAGTGTCTACTGTGAGATAAGACACTGTCCAAACACAGAATGGGAGTAAATAGTGCCAAAATGGAAATATAGCTTTTAGCTTAACATAACATGAAGCTAAATCTTAAGCTGTCTATGTGAAAGTAAAATAAATGTTGCCCTTTTTAAAAGCATATGTTCAACAGAAAATACAAGTTATCTACACTCACTTCAGACCAGTGGTTTGGAAACAACGCTAATTTTGTATAAATAAGTATAGTTCTACTGATGCAAGAGATAATGGACAATAATATGTTTATTATTATTCTAGAAGTTTAACTATTGTCTGTAGGAATAGTGTACAACGACCTGATTCTTAATCTCTTTTCCTCCAGGTGACAATCCTGGTTCTGGAGATCTACCACCCTAGACAGTTCAGATCTAGTGCACCTGGCTCTAATGTTCAGACCCTGAAGACCCTCATTACATGGAACAGATGTGTTAGATTAGGGTTGCAGCTAAACGCAGCAGGTTGATAACTCTCCAGGAGCAGGACTGGGAAGCCCGCTATAGAATTTTATGACATACTTTTAATATATCCATCATTCCGATGCCTCTGAAGGCTTGATTAACTGAATCGGGTGTGTTTTTTTTAAAGTTTGTAAATAAGAGATGTGAAGAGAAGACTTCAGCAATCTGAAATTCCAATCTGGACTATTTTGGAAATATCTTTGGCTAAACTAGGGCTGAATCTCAAATAGCTCCCTGCTCCCTATGTAGTGCACTATGCGTTCCATAAAATAACAGCTACCTCACCCAAATAGTGCGTTATATGTCTAATATAAAGCAAATTATATTCAGCCATAGGCTGCACGACTCTAACATGTCTAACATTTAGTGCATGATTTGAGTGTAGAAGCCACAGTTTTATGACATGCAGTGCATGATACGGGTAGTAGGGAGCTGTTTAAGATTCAGCTTAGGTGTCAATAAATGTGTTTGTGGGGTTGTGAGGTTTTCTTATTTGCATACAAGTTGTGTACTGTATGATCTACATACTGTATAATCACATTAAATGTTAATGGGCCCGTACCATGGAAAAATGTATTTATTTTTTACTTTAATAATGGACTGATGTAGTACGTAAACATTGTTAAAGTTTTAAAATACACTATTCACTCACAAGTCCATACAGTTCATATATAGAAACTAAAGCCCAGTCCCTAATGGCGCCCTTGTCCTGCAGTCCACAGTTGTGCATACATGTGGGGACTGCAAGGTTATACGGTGTCCCATTTTTCATGTTGCTGTTCAAGGGGGTTCTGAGGGGCACCCTCCATGCACCTTTACTGTGGCCTTGGATGTGGATGATTTAGTTTACAGCTATCTGATCAACATGGAGGAAAGGAAGATATTCAGATGTATGTAAAATGCATTAACCTGTTATTGAGCTGCATTGTGCTTGTATTCATACTTTCAAAACTGTAAATAAGCAAATTAGCTCATTAAAAAAAAAAAGAGTATGACCAATACACCACGTGCGGCACATGGAGAGCTGGCATGTCGCACGAGCTTGTCCCAAATGCACGTTTAAAAAACAAGCACCCTTGATGTCTCCTGCCCTAAAGGTCTGCATGTTGTTGATGTCACCAAAATGTTTTGAGGAGGACCATATGGCTTGCGGTGCCGTTTGGGATGGGGCTTAAGCTGTGACAAAAGCTTTTTAAAAAATTGTATTGTTTTAAAAAAAAACCTACACATTGACATATGTCCTCCTATTCAGCCTACAGCAGTTTAGCTCCACCTATTCACACTGAGGTTATGAGGAGCGTTTCAGCCTGGTCTGCTTTTTGAATGAGGAGCAATACAGCCAATCAAAACAGAGATCATTTACATATTGTCTAAAAGCAAAGTAAAAGAAACAGCCTGTCTAATTCTAGGGGATAAAGATAGCCTGGAAAATGGTCGTGTTAAAGTGAATTATCAGTGTTTTGGTACATAAAACCATACCAACGTTATAAGGGTGCCAAAATGGAAGAAAAATGTGGGATATGGGCTCTTTACAGATGTATGTCGATCGAAGCCGTGACCTGACCGAGCCACTAGAGGGCAGTAATGTCTAAACGACTTGTTATTGTAGAAGGACAGGCCGCCGCCTATGTAAACAGGAAGTGAAAAGAGGTAGGTAGGTGAAGAGATTGTTTTATGGCTGACTAATAAAGTTATGTATTTTAATATTGCCATGCTCGGCCTGGCGGTGTGAGTGTTTATGGTTTGTTTTATCTCATTTAACGCTGTTTATTCTCAGCTGAGAAATATGGCGGATTCGAGGACAAACTCGAGCAACGGGATGTCAGACGCTCAGTTAATTCAGCAGGTCAGTCACTAACTTACAGCTTCGTTTAGTTTCCACTGAGAAATCTAAGAATTTATTGCTCTACACATTTATTACCAAGTTTAATCTCCTGTAAAGCTGTTTGTCTATTATGTTCTTGTTCTCATTTTCTTCTCTGGGTCTTTTCTCTCTTGTCTGTGTCAATATGTACGCAAGTTGTATTACCGTACAACTGATTGTAGCAAAGGTGGTTAATATTTGATTTAAAATGTATTTTCAGAAGAGTAAAAACATGGGCGATGGATAAGCAAAAGTGCAAACCTGATGTTTTCACTAATAGTATGATATGTAGATATGGTATAAACATACCAAACATAAACATAAGGCGATATGGTAAAAACATAACATCACTATACTTTTCTCATAATCCATGTATACACTATACACATGTATACATTATACACTATACTTTTCTCATAATCCATGTCAAGTATTACGATATTTTGTTTTCTAAGGTTTGGTAAGTTGGAACAGATTAAAGGAATCAGTGTACAGGTTCTTTTATACAACGTTAACAAACTGATTGCACTAAATCCAAGTAAACATGAGTAATTATGATCTTTTCGTAATGAAACATGTAGTTGTTCAGTGTTTTTTAAACACTGACAGTATCCACGATATCCTCAGAAAAGCTTATTGTGACAAAGTGACAATTTCTAACTGTAAGGACGAATATCATAATACCGTATGTTATTGTGTGTTCGTTTGTTTTATGTGTTTGTTTTATGTGATCTGTAATTAAGCGCCATTTCATGCTGCCTTTGGCTCTGTGAGGAGTATTCTTCATTTATTTTAAAATATATAACATTGACAACCTATCCATTATGAAATAATGATTAGTTAATTAGTGTCTGTCGTCCCTTTTAAATGAACAAATTAATAAATAGAGGTAGCATTTTCCCCCATATTTGAGTGACAGGATGTTAAAAGCAGGTACACTCTTAGTGAAAAGGGATCTATAGTACCAAAAATCTATGTGGTACCAAAAAAGTTTCTTTGACTTGTAACAATAGTGGAACGTTTTTTTTGAAAAGGTCTTTAAAGAACCGTATACATCAGGTTTTCTACAATGAAGAACAGTTTAATCAGGCAAAAAACTTTATGTATTCAAATGGTTTTTCACTTATAAAAACAGTTCCTTTACAACATAACCATTGAGGAACCCATTTTTAAGGGTGTCTTTATTTCAGTACTTTTACTAAGTACTCCCTACTTAGACACACAGACATCTATGACCATTTATCTACCTTTCGTAAGTTGATGTTATTAGCTGTTTTTACTATGATGGTCCATATTTTCTGGTTCTTGCAGTTGGCTCTACTTGGCTGGCTTAAGACTGACAGTGTGGAGTGCAAAAACTTCCTCACTACTGTTACTGGCATGCAAGTGGCACGAGAAATCCTGCACAGACTGTCTGGGCAAGATAAAGTGGACGCTTACCGGGTAAGCTGTACCTATTAATATTATTTTGGCTCTTCATAGTGTGCCAAAACAGTCCTCCATAAAAGGATGCAACATGTGTAATCTTAATATAATCTCCATATATGGGTGCAAATTGGTCCACGATTTGACTTTACTATTAGATGTACTCATGATATTCTGAACAAAATTTGAATAATTTTGAATGATTGAATGAAAATAAATATCTGTGTATAAATGTTCCTGCTTAACATTCTAAAGAAACAAGAGCCTGGGGGCAGGAGGAGTTTGGCAAATGACATGAACGTGCTTGAGTGGGTTACTGATTGATGCTGGTTGTTTATCAACTTTAGTGAATACCCATTCTCCATGATGTCAGATTTTTATATTACAATGTCACAGTGCGTAGGTCTGTCTGGTGAAGATATTACGTCCTCTTTTGCTTTAAATCCGTCATGTTGTCCAAGCAGTGATGCTAATAATGTCCTCTTATTTCCATGTGATGGTACATAAAGAGCCTCGCTGACTTGTAATTACATGTATCCACAGAAAGAATGTATTGAACGTGTGGCTGACTTTGTGAGGAGGAATCCTCGGGCATCTCAGAGGGAGCTGAATGCAGAAGTTGAGAAGAATGTGCTTCTGTTTGCCTCGAAAGTTCAAGCCTTGGACTCTGCTCCTCTCCTCTGAAAACTTGACTTACAACCATGACTGCTGACCTCTTTCTCTCTGCCTCATCCAATCTCTCCTTCTCTTTCTATATTTTGCTATTTTTTGAAATATTGTATGATTTGTACTCTTTGTAAAAATAATTTATATTGCTTTCAGTAATCTTTCCAGTTATATTGTAAAGCAGTAATTCGCAGAAAAATCAAATGTTCACAGGTTTTCCCTTCCAGAAAATGTAGTTGAGCAGCCAAGACGTTTGATGTCTAAAGTTTGCTTCTTGAGTTTCGCACTGGAGGTACAAGGCTAATATAGAAAGATAGGAAATCTTTTTGGGATGTGATAGACTTCCATTATGTTTAGCCACATTAGCCTTGTAGCTCCAGTTTAAAAGAAGTAAATTTTAGAATCCAGAAATGTCTTGGCTGATTGACTACATTTGGGGAAAGAGGAAAAGGTTGTGTGGATTTGATGTCTGGTGAAACACTGCTTTACCCTTTCCATGTACATTTTAGGTTTGATATGTATTTGCTGTAATTAAGTAAATTGTTACTAATGTAATAAAAAGTTATTGTGCATCCCAATAATATTAACACTTGAGGCTCAGTCTTTGTGTTTATTTGCAGCAATAGAAAATGTCTGTAATTAGATTTATTTATTATTGTATTTATTTAAAAGTTTTTTTTTTTTTGACAAGGAATCAGTAATCTCTGGTCAGAGATAATTACATTAATAGGCTGATTATTATAATTCTGTCTTCTAATGTCTGTCATTCTGTCATGTGTTTAGTATTTATAGGATTAATAAACACATAAGACTTGGATAAGAGGAGAAGAAAAGACACAGGTGGATTAAGAAGAGATAGAGAAGAAGCGGAGGGAGACTATAATAGGCCTTGGTTCATCATTGTATTCATCAAACAGCACCTGCAATGAATCCCATTATGCAGATTGATTTCTCAGATCCCTTGATGACTTTAAAGGCAGCGTTACACCCGCAGCCCCGACAGTTGATTAGTGAAGGTGCTTATGGAGTGAAATGAGAGACGTTTGCAGCTTAACACTTTTACTAAGCGATGATACAGCACGTAAACTCAGAAGAATAGAAGAACATGCTCAAAATAGTATAACATTTGATACTCTTTTGATTCAGATTCTCCACTGCACCTGGGCACTTAGAGGCAACGGCCAGTACTCTAATGATGGGGGGGACAGTGTCTTGTGAGCTAGCAGCCAAGATGAAAGGCAATGGGTGACTGGTCAGAGAGAACAAAGCACTGCAGTCTCAGCCAGTCTACCATCTGAACACAATAGAGGAAGAACAGCACTCTGTCACCACGTGTTTGGGTTTATTTCAGCCAGAAAACATCAAACGAAACAATATCTTCATGTCAGTAAAGCAAGAGATGCAGAACAAAACATGATCTGATACTGAAGTCTGCAACTGCATCTGAGGAAAAATCATGAGGCACTTTTCTTAGTTTCTAAGAAAATGGTAAAAGTTGTTGTGTTTGGGTAGAGAATGTGATCAGCAGAATGCTAAAGGCATTAATATCACAGATTTATAACAGTCCTGTTGAGTCTCTTTAACTAACAGAGATAGTTTCACGTTGCCCACACCAAAATATAATGTGAGAAGGTCTAAATGCACTAATATTAACAAAATGTCATTCCTTTCCTTTACATTTCTGAAGTTGCTAAGTTTCATTTGAATGTTGCTGGAAATGACACAGTGATAACAGCAACAATAATAAAAACAGTAACACTAGATACTTCTAATAATATGCTATACTACTAGTCACATATTACTACTAATAATAATAGTAGTAATAGAAAAGAAACATTCTTCTTACCATTAATAGGAATAATAATAATAATAATAATAATAATAATAATAATATAATATAATAAATGCTGTGTGTGTGTGTGTGTGTGTTCACAAAGCAGGGTTTCTCAAGACAGCTAGATGACCAAAGTTGAGAATTGTCCAATAGGAATGTCCCACAGCTCTTCTCACTGGGGAAAATTTTTTGCCTAAACTGAGAAATCCTGCTTTGTGAAATGCCCTGTGAACTACCATCAGTGCATTAATTAACAGCAAAAACTACAGTTATTAATATTATTATTAGTAGTAGTAGTAGTAGGAGTAGTATATTTAAAACAGACATATGGATCATATGTAGGCTATTAATAATAACAAAAAAGTTGTATATTGTTGCAAATTGAATTCAACGCCCTTTCCTCAAATAAGGTTATTATTATTATTATTATTATTATTATTATTATTATACATACATACATACATACATACATACATACATACATCATCTAAACCGCTTATCCTTCTGGGTCGCGGTGGTGGTGCTGGAGCCTATCCCAGCTGTCATTGGGCGGAAGGCAGGATACATATTATACAATATTATTATTATTATTATTATTATTATTATTATTATTTAAAACATACATATATATTATATGTAGGCTATTTATAACGACATGGAAATTGTATGTATGTATGTACATTGTTGCATTATTCATTGCAGCTAAAATAAGAAATGCAAATTGATTTCAACGCCCTTTCCTCAAAGAAGGTCTGTTGTCTTTCTGTGAAGATGAAAAAAAAAATGATTATAGGTTAGAAGGCAGGATGCATTTCTAAAATCTTTGCCAATTGCAGCAATCAGTCCCTGAGTTGGCACCCCTCCTCTATCTCTCCCTCTCTCCCCCTCTCACTGCTGCTGTCCTCCACTTCACTCTTCTACTGTGAACATACACAGCCGTCACGATTCCAGCAGGCCAGCACTGCGCCAGAAAGAGCGACATTTCTCAATGAGAGCTGCTGGATTTACCGCGTTGAAGGCAGTTAACGGGACTTTGACTAAAGCGACGAGGCTGATGATTGGACGTTAAATCAGACATCAGGCAAGTCGCTCACGATTTCTCTTCTTTGTGTACAGAGCGTTGATACATCTCGGAAAGTTGCTTTATGGCACCAAAACTACTTGTGGTCCTCCGTTAGCTGTTGCTAATGTCTCTGAAAGTTATTAACATCTTGTAAAACAATTTTTACTTCTCAGAATATGTGTAACATGAGCTTAATCTATTATCATCGACATTGTTTTAAATAGCTATATTATTTAAACGCCTTACTTAGCTGTTCATTAGCATAATTATGCAAAAAAGTCTTGATGACGATCGCTGCCAGTAAAATGTACTTCTTCTTCATATATGCCTCCAAAGGAAAGATGTCCCAGTCAAAAATGCCAATGTTGTCTTTGCAGGGATGGTTGAGGCTCAGCTTGGTCGTTCTTCAGAAGCACATCACTGTTACGGGCACTTTGTCAAACTTGGACGCTGCTATGGGCAGAGATAGCCATCTGGGGTTGAACTGCCTCCTGTTACCTGCAGCCCAGAATGGCATATCTTAAAGCCCTGCTCTTGGACGTTTATCATATTTTATTACCTCCTTATTCTTTTTACCTGTGTCTTCACCGCTGCTCCATTGGAGAGACTACTATGCTGTTGAATTCATCTGAATACAGAATGTGTTAGTGGACAGGTTCCCTAAGACATCCCTTATCTTGCACAATAGCCTTGTCCAATTAGTCCTAAACCATCTGTAATTGCACACGTGAGCTTTTTGCTTGTAGGCAAGCCTCCTGTCTTGTGTATGTGTGTGTACTCTTTGTGTCTGTGTATGTTTGCTTGCTCGTGTCCCTTTCCGCTGGTGCATAAGTCATGCCTCGGAGACCGGATGTCAGCAGCAGCTGTTGCTTGCCATTGCACCTGAATGAGGACAATGCTCGCTTCGGCCTGCTGGCGGCACTCATCCTGCTTTACCTGCTGTGTGGGGCGGTTGTGTTCTCTGCCCTGGAGCGGCCCTCAGAGCTGCAGGCTCACCAGCGCTGGCAGGAACAGCTGGCCAACTTCACCCAGCAGCACAGGCTCAGTCTGGACAGCTTGCAGGTTCTGCTGAGGCAGTATGAGGAGGCCTTCGTCACTGGGATTCGAGTGGACGCCTTGAGGCCTCGCTGGGACTTCTCTGGGGCTTTCTACTTTGTTGGCACAGTAATCTCCACAATAGGTGAGTTTCACTCTGTTTGAGGTACATCCTTATTGTTCTATGACACAACACTATGTGTCCAACTCTGGTCCTGGAGGGCTTAATGTCCACACTCTTAAAAACAAAGGTTCCTACATGGTGCTTGGCTCAGAGGTACTGTTCTAGGGGACAAAAATACTTTAGTTGGTATAGAAATTCAGTAAAGTTCTTCACACTCGCACATCCTGTTTACAAAAATGGTTCTTTAAAGAACTGAAAGTTTTTTTAAATTAACAAGTAATTCTTCTATGGCATTGCTTCAAAGAATCATCTTTATTGTTAAGGGTACAGCAAAGTTTGGTGATTTTCCAATTCAAACATACTGGAATCGACTCATTATTACCAGATGTCCAAAGTGCGCTGGACACAGTGCTATGGGACCAAGAACATCAAGAAGTCAATAATGGGAATTTTACAATTCTTATTTTCAAGTCTCAGTTTCTATCTCACACTTTTCAGAACAACCATGCAAACCTAATCTCCTTAAAGGAAATCTCTGGTGAAATCATTTTCATAATTCACTAATTCTATAAGACTTCTCTGTTTGACCTTGACCGTGACTTTTTATGCCAAATCCACCTCTGGTTTTTGTTGCCAAAAGCTATATTTGTGTATCAGTTGAGCATAGAACCTATTTCCAAACAAAGTTCTTGTGATGTTTACCCAACCCCAGTCACTTATATTTGGCATTTGAGACTTTTTAGCATATGATCTAATTGTAGTTTTGGAAATTTGATGACAGCTTCTGCAGCCGATTAACTGTGATCTTCAGAGTTTTGTCTCTCAGTGTGGGGGCAGCATACACTTGTGTCCTCCAGGCAAGTTCATGACAGCTCAAGTTGTTTGAAACTTGTAATTATTGCTGTAATAGTGCAGATGGTATAGTTCCTAAAGCAGTGTCAGGTGAGGTGTATTAGTTGATTTATTTTTTTTCAGTACTAGTACAGGTAACATGGAAAATATGTAGAACATAATCAAAAATAATTGTTTTAGCAGTGGCATCAGCACAAGTGTACCTCAGAAGTGTTGTTTGGTAAACTGCAGGACAGTGCAGAAGGCTTGTCAGTCACTTTATAAAACCCTCCCCTAAACCACATTACTCTGCCCCCATCTTTACCTGCCTTGCTAAAAAGGCATCCTGAATCCGGTTAGCGACCTGCACTGGTTGGTTCAGTGCTTATTAATACTGGTGAACTTGATCAACTGCTCTGGGCACTGTTGATTCTGTGGGTGGGCTTTGTGTTGATGGGTGGGGAGGTGGATCCAAAGAGTAAAAAAGTTCCAGTGGTGTTGTAGTTCATTTGTTTATCCTTTAGAGTAATTGCATGTCTTTGACGCATTTAAAAAAAAAAAAGATCAATGGATGTTGTTCAAGTGTAAGCATGCCAGTAACTATGACAGTGCTTTTGAGAAAATGTGTTTAATGAGCCTCATTCACCAATATCTTAAGTATTTTCTTAAATTTGTTTTTGAGAAAGATCCTGAGAAAAAGTCTACGTCAGATTCATGACATGTTCTTAAACTGCAGAAATGTTCATACCTTTGTGCTCTTGAGCTACCATAGGTTCTGTTCTTACCTAAATGGTGAATATGAACATCTTAATGAAAACTGTGTAAGTGGGTTTTAAAAGAAATTTCTTGTTAAGAACAGTTGGTGAATGAGGCCCAATGTATTTATTTATTTTTGTTTTTGAGTAATTTTACCTCATTGAAAAGTTAACTTTATTTAATATCCATTTATCAACATCCAGTTGATAAACATTTTTTTTCATTCCTTTTTTTTACTCATTTGCCAATAATTTTGGAGTTGACTATAAAGCATTCAGACCATTCATAATTAATTTTTTTGAGTGTCATTAAAACCAACTCTTGGCTGAATATGGTCTTAATTAAATCATAAGCACATCAGTGATATGCATCCCAATGTTTTCCTCTGCAGGTTTTGGCATGACCACTCCTGCCACAGTTGGTGGTAAAGTCTTTCTGATCTTCTATGGACTCATCGGCTGTGCTGCGACTATCCTCTTCTTTAACCTCTTCCTGGAACGTATTATCACTATGCTGGCGTATATCATGCGCTGGTGTCATGAAAGGCAGCTGCGGCGGGCTGGTGTCGGGGGAGTGGAGGCCCGCGGTGAGGATGACAGCCTGGAGGGCTGGAAGCCCTCTGTGTACTACGTGATGCTGATTCTGGGCATTGCTGCACTGTTGATCGCCTGCTGTGCCTCAGCGCTTTACTCAACCATGGAGGACTGGGACTACTTTGATTCGCTGTACTTCTGCTTCGTGGCCTTCAGCACTATTGGCTTCGGGGACCTGGTGAGCAGCCAAAGGGAGAGCTACAAGAATCAGGAGGCCTACAGGCTGGGAAACTGCCTTTTCATCCTTATGGGCGTTTGCTGCATCTACTCACTCTTTAACGTCATCTCCATTATTATCAAGCAGACGCTGAACTGGATCCTGGCTAAACTGGACTGCAGCAGGATGCAGTGTCCCTGCCGAGGCCGCAACTACAGGAGGCAAGGGCGGGCCTGCTGCTGCTGCTGCTGCCCCTGCATACCTGGCCAGCGCCGCAGCCAGCATCCTCCACCTGGCCATCCCCGACAGAGGGCCCAGAAGCGCAACGCTGTGCACCCTGCCCCTGCAAATGAGGCTGCGAGGAAGCAGCGTTTCACTAATGCATCAGTGGAAACAGTATGCGATAGTGAGACTGATGCTGGCCCGGGGCCAGATGGAGGTTATCTAACAGGGCGCAGACTGTCTGGAGAAATGATCTCAGTCAATGACTTTATGGCCAACAAGGTTTCTCTGGCAATTCTGCAAAAGCAGCTCTCTGAGACTGCCCATGGAAATCCGAGACAGAGCCATGTTCGCCAAAATGGCTTCTCTGGTGGAGTGGGGGCTTTCGCTATCATGAATAATCGGCTACAGGAGACCAGTGTGGACAGGTAGTTCAGTCATTAAAAGGGGGAATACCTGGAACATAGTGACCAGTATCAACCAGTATAGTTTTGGGGCCCTGAAGGTTGCCATGCTTTAAGTAAACAGGCTAACACAATCACATGGTACAATATCATTCAAAGTACAGCTGTTTGGGATATGTATTATGGGATAGATCACAACAGAGCTACGTGAGCTCCTAAGCTTTGCCTAATTAATGTAGTTAATTCTTTCAATTTTGTAGAGACAGGCCTTGTCAAATGAGCAAGGTGGTGGGCTCTACATGAATGGCTCTCCTCTATAGAGGAGACCAGAGTTGAAGTTTCACATCTGCTCCGAAAGGAAACGTAACAGACTGTGGCATTTCAATTGTATCAGCTCATCTGGGAGTCACTTTGAGAAGCTGAAGTGATTGGCTTATATGGTGAGCAATCAGACTGGGCCTCTGGAGAGCTCCTTCAGGGACTCTTCAGGAAAACCGACTGATTTACAAGAGCCATGTGCAGCCGCTGGCGTGCTGCTCTCAGAAAAGCACCACGCATGGAGAAGACAAGTGTCGAGTCATTTAACGACACTTTATGATACGACATCATTTAACAGCAGCTGTCAGTGATAGTAAGTGTTCCCCTAAAAACAAATTAACTGAAGTGAATACAAATATTTTAGAATTTAGTTTTTAACAGCACTGGACCGCAAACTGCGACATCTGGCATTCATGGAATAGTGAACTTTTATTCCGTTATGAGAATTGTTGGAAATAGCCTTGGCCTGAGCTTATCTGCAATTTTGTGTGATTACTCTCATGTAACATTACCTAAGTGAAGACCTGTAGAGGTGCATTGTATCTGTAGACAGATTGTATACAGGTGAATGTAATGTAGATAATACACTGTACTGTAAATAGCTGCTTTGCACTTTTGCTGAATCATTATTTTGACCTCCAATATATGACTTAAAGGGGAATTCCATCACATTTTCAAAATTTATTCATAACTACATTGTTAAGCTGCAAACAAAGTCATTCTGTTCTACATTAGTAATAGTTGTGGTAATAGGAACCAGACGCCCATGTTTAATGCCTCTAAAAGCTACATCACAGAAAGAAGTAAAATTTTCAATTTTAATCTTTTTCAAGTTCTGTTTTATCACAGATGTCCACTACATGGACAAAAGTATTGGGACACTGATACATTACACCTGCATGAGCTTTTATGATATTTCATTCTAAATCCATAGACATTAATATGGAGTTGATCCCCCTTTTGCCGGTAAACAGCTTCCACTCTTCTGGAAGGGCTTTCTTTTTTTGGTAATCTATTCTCCTGGCTTTTGCCAAACCCAGACTCGTCTCTAGTCACTGAGCTCATTAGTATGACCCATTCAACTGCCAGTGTTTGTTTATTAAGATTGCAAGGCTATGTACTTAAATCCACCTGTTAGCAATAGATGTGGCTATAACAGCTGAACTCAATAATTAGGAGGGGCGTCCCAATACTTTTGTCCATATAGTGTTTTTGCATGGCATTGCAAAGCAAAATAGCTACCAAAGAAAATGTTTTAAAAATACTATTTCCACTATCAACATAACATATAAAAAACCCTAAGACGTGTAGGTTCACTGGTCATTATGGAAAGTAGATTAAATGTATGTATTTGTGTTGTAGACGTTACGACCACTGGTTCCTACCTCCACCACAGTAAAGAAATGTCTCTACAATAAATCATTTCACATCAGAACACCCTGAATGACTCAATGATTGAATTGTACAAAAATGTAGAAAAATTGGTGGAATTCCCCTTTAATGACTCAATGTAGTTGTAAAAGGCAAGGCTAAAGCCAGCTAGAAAACTGAACCCAGCATTTTACATGCCATGTCTCTTCCTTAACCTGTGTGCTTCCACAGCTTTCCTTTCATTTGAAGTTTTACGCTGAGAATTGTCAATATTCTGTCAGAAGCGTGGTATCCTTACTGTTAAAACAGCATCAGCAGGATGACATTGCCGCACACATTGTTGACATGATGTATTCAACTGAATGTAATGTGAGGAGTTGCACTCTGCTACCCTCTTGAGGTTGAATGTTCATAGTACCACACTTATTTATTTAATTTTTTTAATATTTATTTGATGTTACATTATTATAGGGCCAGTTTCCATATTAAAACCCCAACTTAAGTTGACTTGTAAACAAGCCTTATAATAGACATTAAAAAAGATTAGAGAACAGTTATTAGATAGACCCTACACGTGGTGCAGAATACTCTAATAGGACACAGCTGCTGCAAATAAACACACACCATATGTACATATATACAGTCGCTCTGTTTTATTACTTTATTACTCTTAACCTTAAATTAACACAGCTGTCGCCAATATACAAGATGTGTAAAATATGCACAAAGGTCATTTCACATAACAGTATGCAATAATGACTCAATTCATTGAATAGTCATTAGGAAATCTGTTGGAGATATTAACACCGTTAATCTATTGGTATAATTTCAAAGAGGTCAGTAAGGCAGCACAATACAGATCATGCACACATCAGATCAAAAATACAGAAAATAGACGTGAAGGACTGAAACAATCCTGTATGTTTGGAAACCTCAAAGTGCGTGCTTGCACAGAACCTGTTGTACTTGGCTGTGCCTCAGAGACATACAGCATCCACAACCTTTCCTTTCATTTACACTGGCACAGGAAAGTTAAGCTAGAAAATTCTGATTGCAGTATTTCTTTAAAAGAATTGCTTGTTAAACTCACAAGTTTGTACACATTACCTGAGTGTTGCTCTGTTTACATCAAATACATTTAGTCAGGAAAAAAGTTGGCAAATGAGCCAGATAGTTTGAGGAAAGCAATGTCAGAAATCTATTTCATATACAGTAATTGCTGTCTTGGGAAGCGTTACACCTTTTAAAGGAATAGTCCACAGTTTTTCTTAACATTAATTATTATTATTTTTTGTGAAAAACATCTGTCCGGATTAAAGTTATCAAAGAATCCTCCTGTAGGCGTCCATTGTGCAAAGAACTTTAACCCATTTACAAGCTTAAAGTGGTCTTGTTTAAGCATGAAACTAACTAGTGAGTCATGAATTATGAATGAGCAGTGTTTTTAGCATAAAATCATTATTTTTATAATGAATATCATTACTTATTAACTTGATATATTTGGCTGTACTAGCTTCATTTATGTTCTTATTATATTCTTATGTGTTCTTAGAGATACTTCACTTCCCAGAACATTCAAATAAGTGCAGTAGTAAAATAACGAGTTACAAGATTATTTTTGTAACATGGAAAAATTAGCATCTTTGTTAAAGAATACTGTGTTGCTGCAGTAATACTAAAAGGTCTCATTCTATGTTCTTTACAATCCTATGAGAGGTAACTTTAGTACCTTTACTGTATTATTATTATTATCATTTTTCTATTAATTGCAATAAATTTACAGTATAATTTACAGCACAATTTATACTTTGGGAAATGCAGCAAAACACTAAAAAAAAAGAAAAAAGACAACAACAACATAAAAACAATCACTAATAGAAGCTTTTTACATTCAGATCTGCAGAAAGTGGGACACATTCTTAAATAACTATTTTTTGTTTTACCTTTAAGTTATTCTAATGATTAAAAATTACAGAATTCCTTCTATTTATAAACATGGATACGATGTTTACTTATAATAATAATTAGATTAATCATGACAAAAAAAAATCAGAGGGTAGGTAGGTCATCAGATAAGCTGTATCTTACTGTAGAAGCATGTTTTTCACCAAAAAAAAGCTCCAAAATAGTTTTAAAACTCTGAAAAATGGGAAAAAATATGTATGTTGAAAAAAAAACTTTGGACTATTCCTTTAAGCCTCCTCTAACTGAGAGATCCATAAAAAGAAAGCAATGTGTGAGTATAGTAGCTGCTGTAGACAATACATTTTCTTAATCATTCTGGCATGTGGGGGACCTTTCCATCTGGAAATGATACAGCATGTCAGTGTGAATCCATGTTAATGAGAGTGTTGGGGATGAATCCTAAGTGGAATCTGCAGATCCAAGTTCCTGAAAGCATGCAAATAATAGTATTAATATGGCCCATTTATGTAATTGTGGACAAGAAAACACTGGGTTTCAAAGCTTTTTCTAAAGCAGAAATAATGGTACAGATGCTACTTCCCAAAATCTTTCAACTGATTCTTAATACAGTACAATAAGTTCTCACTGTATTTATAATACTTTGGAGTGTGAAACAGAGAAGACATTTACCTGGGATAATCTAGATTTCCGGGCCTCTTTTTGTTGATAGTACGCTGAGATGATACAGTTTCGTCTGCAAAATCCAAAGTGTAACAGGTCATGCATTCAATGTCACATACACTAAACATGTTTAGGGTCAGTTACTGACTATAGCCCATGTGTTGCTGCACAATTTCAGACCGCCCTTTACCCCATTTATCAGTATGACCACCTTTCATCTAGTATTATTTGGGTGTTGGTTCGGACATGATTACTTTGTTTGTCCACATTATATGTGCACAGTTAGAGGCTATAGCTCATCGTTTTCCATGCACAAAAAGTTTAAAATATTAAAAATATATCAGCAGTGGTGGCCAATTTGCTTCCCATCAGATGAAATTTAATTTCTAAGAAAAATCTAAAATAGAAGATAGATTGATTGTTAAACTTTTTGGTCTCTGCATTGTTCCATGTGTTTTCATCATTTTGATGTTTTCAGTATTATTCTAAAATTATGGAAAATAGTAAAAATGAGGAAAACCCTTCCTTGAGTTAGTGTCTATGTAAATAAGCAGTACTTTGCCATCTTAGCAAATTGTTTAAAACTACCTATCTGAGCAGTAAGTGTGTTTTTTGGCAGTAAAAATGCTAATATTATATTAGAATGAATATAAATAAACATCAGAAAAAATCTGAAAACCTACAAACTACAAAGGAGCCTCAACAACTAAATATAATATCACTCTTTCAGCGTGCCCACATTTTGTCTTTATT